ACCACATAAGCAAAAAGAAAAAAGCCGGAAGTGGCGCTGTGGCTCAAGTGGTAGAGCGCTAGCCTTGAGCTGAAGAGCTGAGGAACAGTGCCCAGACCCAGAGTTCAGGACCCATGACCAGACCCCCCCCAAAAAAAAAGAAAAAAAAAGAAAGAGAGAAAAGAAATTGCACATAATTAGATGCCTGTTTTGTGCCAGAAGGTATTTTAGATTCTAGGGAAACAGATAGTGAGAAAAGTAAGTGAAGATGTCTGCTTTCTTGGCACATCCACGCTACCGAGAGAAACAATCATCAAGAGAATCAAGACAAGCATAAAGTATATGGGAAACTGATTACTGCTGGTGAGAAGACAAGTAACATAGAGATAGGAGTTGTGAGGGCCAGGGGATGCTGTTATAATCCAAGGGTTAAAGAAGATCACCCCCAAAATTTGACACTTGAGTATAAAAAGCAGCACTATAGATGGGACTATAGGTCCAAAGGGCCCCCCTCCAAACTCACACACATATGCGCACGTGCACACACACACACACACACACACACACACACACACACACACACACACACCACAATTGCTTATCTGGAATTTCTTTTTTTCTTTTCTTTTCTTTTTTTTTGCTGGCTGTGAGGCCTGAACTCTGGGTCTGGGCTCTGTCCCTCAGCTCTTCAGCTCAAGGCTAGCGCTCTACCACTTGAGCCACAGCGCCATTTCCGGCTTTTTCTGCTTTTGTGGTGCTGAGGAATCGAACCCAGGGCCTCATGCATGCAAGTCAAGCGCTCTACCATGAGCTACCTTCCCAAAATTATCTGGAATTTCTAAGGAGCCATGGACACAGTTGTAGTGGGACGAGAGGGCAGAGTGAAAGAGTGATGGAGGAAAGGCGACAGATCAAATGGGTCCTCTCAGTCAGTGGAAAGACGCCTCCTGCACTGTGGGTGACATGAGAAGCCGGGGAATGTTCTAGGGAGACAGTAGTTAAATGTGTCAGTAAGAGGGAGTGGCAGAAGCAGAGAAACCTGATAGGAATGTCTTGCAGTAATTAGTTTAGGGTTGATGGTTTGAACTATAGGCAGAGGGGGCCAGCCCTCTCAGTGGCTTTACAGAAGATTGGTGTGGCCAGTTGGCTGAGACTGGCCGCATGGAAGGCATAGAAATAATATCTAGGTTTGGTTTTAGACATGTCAAGATTGAGCGTCCCTGTTAGATATCTAAGAGGAAATATCTAAGGGGTAAATGGATGGGCTGGTGTCTTGCCTAGACATGCAGATGTGGCCACCATCATCATGATCATCATCACTGTCATCATCATCATGATCATCATCATAGATGTTACCGAATGCCAGAATATTGAAAGCGATAACCATAGAGGTGGGCATGGGTAGAAAAGGCAATAGCAACATGTAGAGGCTGGAGAGATGACAAACCAACAGGAAGAGATTGAAGAAGAACAGCTAGAAAGTAGAAGAAAATGAGTAATGATGGTGTTTTAGAAGACAAGTCGCCAGGTCAAAGGGTCACAAGGCAAAGGGAAAGGGAGGCCAGCAGAAGGGATAGGGCCAGTAGCTCACCCTGAGTTTGACCGCTGGAATTCCCAAAGTAGAGCTCTCTTGTGATCATTAATGCTGGTAGAGAGATGAGAGCGAAAGCCATTCTTAAGAGAAAATGGGAGAAGCTGTGAGCAATAACTTCACAGTGACCTTTGGGCCAAACAAGAGAAGGTCACATAGACCTCAACAAGCATCTTACAGACTTAGTATCCCTGCCCCATTGGAGACTGCAGGGGTGGGGAGAGGGGGTCCCCATATACGTGGTTCTTTTGCCTCTCAAGGGTATAGTGATACTTAGACTATGTTGGCCTCTTTGGCCTCTGCATTCTATATTTTGGTGGTTCATGGCAAGCCTTCCCATTCACACAGAATCATGAGAGAAATGAAACTTAATGTGAAGTGTCACACTCTGTAGTTGGAGCAGAAGTGAGGATGGTATGACCAGACATCTGTCTGGTTCACTATTCATCATGACCCCCCAGTGCCCAGCATGCTTCAGCACTCAGTGAGTACGTGCTAGGGAAAAAAAAAACAACTTATAAGGGTCTGAACGGTTCCATGTTGTTTGGGATAACATACAGCACAGAAGGACCACAAACTCAATGTCCCAAAGACAGTACAAGTTCTATCTCATGTGACAGAAGGCCTTCAGGGCAGGGGCATGTTCCTTGCAGTATTTCAAGGGACCCAGGCCAGCTGTACGTCTGCCATCTTCAGCAAGAAGCTTCCACAATGTTCTGGTAGTTTCTATCCATATTGCAGCTCTCAGAAAGAGAGGGGATTCCGTGCAGCCAAGGATGTCCCTGCTGCCAGGCCTGGAAGTCACACCTGTCACATGTCACCAGAGAGAAGTCATCTAGTAAGAAGAGGGGCCAGGACCTGCCTGGTGCTGAGCACGGGGCTGCACCATAACTGAAGCAAAGCAGATGCGTTTAGAAGGACATCTGGCCACCTCGGCCAGCACCTCCTGGAGATGCCAGGATTCTTTTTGAAATGGATTTGCTGCAAGAGTTTCAAGCAAGGAAACCTCAAATGGACAAGCGGGTCTAAAAAGGAATTAACATCTGCCATTGGTCCCTTATTAATGAGACTCTGTTAACTCACCTTGCCTTCCGGCTCAAGGTTAGACTAATGAGCCTGTTTTGACTAGCTACGCTACCATGACCTTCATGTGACATATTTGTCTATGGAGAGAAAGCAGTTGTTTTTTTTCATGACCTCTACAAAGGCTTTGTCAGCATTCTGCAGGTTTAGAAGACAAATTTGTTTTGGCCCCAAGTGTTTTTAAGGGTTTCAGTCAGTGGTCAAACAGGTTTTTGAGTCTGGCTCTCAATGCCAACTCAGAGAGAGGAGGGGGAAAAAAATGGCAAATAAATCCCACAGTCTGAAACGAGCTTTAGCCAAACCTTGGTTCTTTTAGATTTAAAGGTTGTATTCATAAATGAGGAGGGTGGTTTTTAAAATTCATTTCCTTCTGACACCTAAAAATTATTGAAATGAATTATGTCATAGTGGATCTGGACTTACATGAGTCAGAATTTGATAGATGATAAATTAGGCTCTAGCTGGTTAAGAAAAAGAATGACCAATGCCAAAAGAACCTCAAGCCTTTTTTTTTTTGTAATAGCTTACACTTAAAGTCTGATCTATTCTTTGCTATTTTAAAAAAGCAACTTACTACCTTTAACCTATTCTTTCAATGGTCTTTGTTCCCAGAAGGTATAGGTGCAAACCCAACAACTATCATATGGGAACATTATATAACTTGTATATTGTTGTGGTGATGCTAGCTCATGAATATTCAACAGCCTCAGATGTGTACAAAATCCAACATAGTAACATGGAGAGGTAGAGAGACAGAAAGACAGGGACTGGGAGAGGGAGGATAAGGGGGGAGGAGCTGGGGGGAGCTGTTAAGCATCAAAAGTGGAAGGGAGAAAATTAAAGAAATTAAGAGATTGGCTAAACTTCCTCACATCTTAAAACTTTTCTGCAAAACTATTATGGAACCTAACTGCTTGTGATAATGCTTAAAATGTACATCAATTGTATTATGATTCTTTATGTTTAGGGGGAAAAAAAGACAAGTTTTCTAAAGACTGGAGAGGTAGCTCAGTGGTAGATCACTTGCCTAGCAAGGCCATTGTAAACACACACACACACACACACACACACACACACTTTTTTTTTCCTGAATCTTGTATGTGTCTAAATTTTTATAATGCATTTACGGTTTGGTTACTGTCCTTTCTCCTCCCTGAATATTCCTTAGTCTCTCTTTCCTGAATATTTCATCTGAAGGCATTTATTTCTTTTGAAATACTCTTTTGCATCTACATCTTTTATTGGCCCTCAGTGAGAGACAGAGATTGAGGACTGCTTTCCTGAGGAATTCATGTTTCAGAGCTGTAGGAAAACCTAATACTATTACACTAGATCTTACATTAAAGATTTCGCTAATCCACGGGAGATTACCAAGGAGAACAAAGAGGCTTTGTCACAGATCTATTCCTCGCTATCAGAAAGGTCACACAGAGGTAATGAAAGCATTTTGTAGAGTTCTTCTCTAACGCAGACCTCTAAGGTATACATAGAATGAAACACTGCTACAATTTTTCAGAATTTCTCAGATCCATTCTAAAATTCTCCAGCTGTAAATTATCTAAACCAATACATTGATTCTTAGTGTTCTCACGGCTGACACAAATGCTGTATGTTCCTGGGACACCAGTCTTTGGAGATTACATAGCTTTGGAAATAACAATAGCTAATACTCACTAACAACTGCAGGTGTTACCATAGTGCTTTAGGTGTGTTGTTCTGTTGACTTATCATGAAGGCTCATGTGTTCTCATGGCGTTCCGTATCTATCTGTTCCAGACAAGGAACTGAAGGCTTGGCTACAGTCCTGTAGTGACAGTGGATGAGCTACCACCCAAACTGACACGGGCCATCTCCTCTGTGCCTGTCCTTTAGTGAGCCCAAACTGAGAATTCTACACCAATTGGCTAAGCCAGCGTAAATGGAAAAGAATCATCCTTCTCTATGTTTAGTTTATGGAGATCTTTATACAATCTGTGTGTATGTGTGTGTATGTATGTATGTGTGTATGTATGTACATGTCCCGATCCCGGAGCTTGAACTCAGGGCCTGGGCGCTATCCTTGACCTTCTTTTGCCCAAGGTTAGCTCTTTACAACTTAAGCCACAGCACCACTTCCAGCTTTTCCTGAGTAGTATACTGGAAATAAAAGTCTCACAGACTTTCCAGTCTAGGTTGGCTTGGAACCACAATCTTCAGATCTCAGCCTCCTGAGTAGCTGGGATTACAAATGTGAGCCCCCTGCACTTGGCTCTTTATATGATTTGGGGGGATTGCTGTGAACTTCAAATCAGATTTACTTTCCACTTTAAGGGGATTTTTTTTTCATGGTAGGTTTATTAGTACGTAGCTAAACACAGGCTGTTTCAATTCATGCTCTTTATTTCTTTTCACGTTACAAAATAAATGAACTTTTCTAATATCCTTTTGATACAGATGTGAATTCCTGAGTTCAAAAATAAAATTCAGGTCCAAATTTCTTAGGCAGCTGTTCTTTGAGGATACTGAATTTACAAACAAGCAAATAAGAGCACACATTTACTCTTCCTTCATGGCGATAACTTATTTTATACTCTACTTTAAAAAAAAGCACTAACTAAAGGTTGGACAAATGGGATTGCATAAAGTTGCAGAGCTTCTGCAGGGCAAATGACATAGCTAGCAAGATCAATAGAAAGCCCACGGATTGGGAGAAGATCTTTACTAGCCATACAACGGACAAGGGTCTCATATCTAAAATATACTTGGAGCTCAAAAAATTAAACCCCCCAACAACAAATCCTCAAAGAAACAACTGCCCAATAAATAAGTGGGCGAAAGACTTAAAGAGAAACTTCTCTGAAGAAGAAAGAAGGATGGCCAATAAACACATGAAGAAATGTTCAACATCCCTAGCCATAAAAGAAATGCAAATCAAAACAACATTGAGGTATCACCTCACCCCAGTTAGAACGGCAAAAATCAAGAACTCTAACAACAACAGATGCTGGAGGGGATGTGGACAGAAAGGAACCTTACTTCATTGTTGGTGGGAATGTAAACTTGTTCAACCACTTTGGAAAGCAGTATGGAGGTTCCTCAAAAGACTTCCCCTATGACCCAGCAATCCCACTTTTGGGCATTTACCCAAATGTTTACAAACAAGACCACACTAAAGCTACCAGCACAACAATGTTTATTGCAGCATTATTTACCATAGCTAAGATATGGAACCAATCCAGATGCCCCTCAGTAGATGAATGGATCAAGAAAATGTGGTATATATACACAATGGAATTCTATGCCGCCATCAGAAAGAATGACATTGCCCCATTTGTCAGGAAATGGAAAAACTTGGAAAAATTATATTAAGTGAAGTAAGACAGGCCCAAAGAAACATAGGTCCCATGGTTTCCCTTATTTGCAATATCTAGTATATCTATGATTCAAGCGGAAAAGGTTAGATAATGTGATGTCAGGAAAATGAACCCTTAGATATGTATTTTAATGTTTTTTTTTCATGCATGTGTTTCTAATGCATTTATAAGATTATCTCTTTGTTGCTTTGTATGTCCCTCCCCCACAGTATAACCCCTGCTTTCACTATATTTGATGTCAGTATAACTTGAGGAGGAGATGGGGAAAAACCTATTGTTTAAAGATACAGGTGGACCTGTTGCAACAATGAGAAGTACAAGTTGTCATGTCCAAAACGAGCTTTACAACATCAGTGCGGTGTGGAGGGGAGGGGGGAAGGAGAAGGATTGGGATGGGGGGAAGGGGGAGGCTGGGAAGGGATGTGAAGGGTAAACCAAAGGAGGAGGCTGCAATGCTTGGTAAGAAATGTATGCATTATCCTGCCCATGTAATTGTAACCCCTCTGTACAGTATCTTCACAAATAAAATAAAATAAAAAAATTATTAAAAGAAAAAATAAATAAATAAAGCACTAACTCTATCACCAGGTGTGGCAGTACATGGTTGTTAGCCAAGCACTTGAGAGCAGGAAGGGTGCAGATTTAAAATCAACCTTGGCTCAAAAAATACAAAGAAATAAAAGAAAATAAGCATGGACCATATTTATAAATGCAGTAATGAATAATATATATTACAAATATACCTCCTGATAAACATAAGACCCCCTAGTCAACCTGAAATATGTACCATTCAAAATTGAGTTTTCTATTTATATATTTGTTTACCTTAGCTAAGCAAGGGTAACATTAAATATTGAAAGAAAAAAAGGTTTTACATTGACTCTATTTCCTTTCATAGATGTTTAGGAACCTGGATATAAGATACACATAAGCCCAGATTATATCAATAATATATTACACAAAGATAATCAACAAACAGTGATTAGCTTATGATTAGGTTCAAGATTAGCTCCCGGAATTCTTAGAACTTGAGTTCTAAGCCACCCTGATTATCTGGCAATAAAAAGTAGATAAGGCTAGGCACCAGTGATGCATGCCTAGAATCCTAGCTACTTGGGAACCTGAAGTCAAGAGCCTCTGCATTTAAAACCAGCTAGAGCAGAAGAGTCCAGAAGACTCCATCTCTAAACCAGCAAAGTGCTGGTTAGAGTGTCCAAGTGGTAGAGTGCCAGCAGTGAGCCAGAAAGCTGAGCAAGGACGCAAGACCTTGAGTTCAAGCCCTGGTACTGGCTCACACACAAACAATGTAGATTGCTACCTAAAAGGTAGTGACAGTTCCGTGACACTGTCACAGGCACAAGAAAACCCAATGTACAATCTTGTGCAAGCAGAAACTCTCATAACTTCATTCATGTTGGCGAAGTTGAAGTGGGAAGATTAGAATTAGTTTACATCTACATAACTGTCTGATGTTTTGTTTTGTTTTGTTTTTTTCCCATCTTCATCAAAGCATAGGGAGTCTGCTGTGGCATATTTCTTACCATTGCTATTGACAAACTATGTTGGTTCTCTTGCAGGAGATGGAAAACGTGGCTTCCCCTCGATCGCCTGAGCCCCCTGGGTCTGATGGTCCTGACCTCATGGCCAACGAAAGGTAACGTTAGAATCTTCTTCTTTCATTGTTTTTGAGGGTACGATAAGATTGCAATGTGAGGTAGAAGAACAAAAGCAAAGCATCAATATGTGAACCAACAATATTTTATTACAGGGAAACTTCTTGAATAGAAAAATCTACTGTAGCTGGACACCAGTGGCTCATGCCTGTAATCTGAGCTACACAGGAGGCTGAGGTCTGGTTCAGAGCCAGACAGAGCAGGCAAATCTGAGACACTTGTCTCTGAATAAATAGTGGGGCGTGGGGGGGGGGCGGTCAGGGGGGTATGGAGGTATGGCTTACATGGTTAGAGCCAGCCTTGAGCAAAAAACGTGAGTGAGAATGTAAGGCCCTGAGTACTATCCAAAAAAAAAAAAAAAGTAAAAAGAAGGGTAGGAAAGGGAGGGGAAGGACTAGTACCATTAAAAACACAGGCCTGAACTGGTCACCAGAGTCTCCCACCTGTTATTCTAGCTACTCAGGAGGCTGAGATCTGAGAATTGAGGTTTGAAGCCAGCCTGGGCAGGAAAGTCTGTAAGACTCTTTTATTTCCCTAAACCATTCAAAAAAAAAAAAAGCTGGAAGTGGCACTGTGGCTCAAGTGGTAGAAACTATCCTTGAGCCAAAGAAGGTCAGAAATAGCACCCAAGCCCTGAGTTCAAGTCCTAGGACCAGCATACACACACAGAAAACTTACCTATGTGCTTGTTTCAACCTCTAGTTTGTTTTGTTTTGGTTTGGAGTTTTTTGGGGGGGGGTTGTTGTTAATTTTTATTTTCTAGTTTGTTTTTTGTTTCAATCTGTAAGAATTTTTGATTTAGGTAGAGCTAGTCAGCCCACTTTCAAAATAAATGAAATCATAATATGAATTAATATAAAACAAATGGACACTTATGGCTTTTTATTGTTGTTGTTATTGTTTACAGCAAAGACAATGAGAAAGATGGCAAAGATACCCAGCATGGTGTGGTAAGTAGCTCACAAAACTATTCCAGGGATGGGACTGCTCCTACATTGTTGTGTGTGAATGTGCAATGTTACTAGCCTGTCAAAAAGAAGCAAGCAGATTAGTGATAGGAATATAGTCAGATAAAAAAGGTAAACACCAAAACTTGAAGATTTGTTTAGAAATTTGCTTTTTAAATTACTTTATTTGGTTGTTGTAAAGGTAAACTTTTAGGAGCATGGGGATTTCCCTTTAGATTTTTCCATAAAATAATATAAAAAGGCAAAGCTCCTGATTTGATTCTCCCATAGTTTAATGTATTTTTTTAACTGACAGATATACCACGTGTGGATTTTAATTAATTTTCCAATTAACATATATTCAGTTGGGGTTCCTTAATCCAACTTATTTTCTGCATTTTGTAAACAATCAAGAAAAATGTGGCTGGTGCCAGTGGCTCACTGCTGAAATTCCAGTTCCCCAGGAAGCTGAGATTGTGAAGAGTGAGGTTTGAAGCCAGCTGAGGCAGACAAATCTGAAGAGACTTATCTCCAGTTAACCAGCAAAAAGCTAGAGGTGGAGCTGTGGCTCAGGTGGTAGAGCTCCAAGTTTGAGAGAAATAGCTAAGGGACAACGCCCAGGCCTTGAGTTCAAGCCTAAGAGTTCAAAAAAGAATGTGTGAGCTGCGGTGTGGGGGGGTACTTTTGTTTGTGCAGCACTCACGGCTCACAGGTGAGGCCCTGGCTTCAATCTCCAGGACCCTCAAAGAAGAATTCGAAAGCTGGGGACCTCTTTCTCTAGGGAATTGCACACTCTCGTATAATTTCTGGAAAGTGATGACCACAAACTCTGTAGAACGTGTTCAGGCCTTGTCCTGTGTATTCTATTAACCACAACAGAGCTGAGAGAAGGGGAGAGGGCTTCCTCTTTCTGACTTCATAGTCTCTGAGTCAATTCTTTCACATCTTATTTCCTATTCTTGTTTATGTCCTTCTTTCCTTCCTTCTTTCCTTTTCTGGGACCCAGGAACAAACGGATAAGCTTTCCTGAATGGGCACTCTCGCTTAGCTTTTTCTACTCAAGGCTGGTGCTCTAACCATTTGAGCCACACCTCCAGTTCCAGCTTTTTGTTAGCTGATTGGAGACAAGGGTCTCGTGGACTTTTCTGCCTGCGCTGGTGCAAAACTGCAGTCCTCAGATCTCAGCCTCCTGAGTAGCTAGGATTACAGGCATGAGCCACCGCACCCAGCTGGGAACCTTTTAACAAGATTGCGTTTCCTCGTGATCACTGTTATTTTTTCTGGCTTCATCTTCTCCTCGACTTCCTCTGCTCACAGCAAGCACCTCCTCATCATGCCACTGGACATTATTTTAAGGAAGGCCACTTTGCCAGCCTCCTGGAGCGCTCTCCTCAGTTAGCTCCTTTGATGCTTGTTATCTCTTATGCCATGCAAGGAAATAGAAAGACCTTTGTGGGAGAACGTCATGATATTAACTCATAATTTCCAGTGGCATCCGGGCTACATTCATGCTGGGCTCAGCTTGCCTAACTCTCTTGGTGGACAGGTTCTGTAGCAGTGGGTGAATCGCTGGGAAGGAATCTTACATGCTTCTCCCACAAGTAACGTCCAATTCTCCAATGTCCCATCCAAGTGCAGCCACCAGTCCCTGCCCAGCCCACAGCTGGCCCTCCTGGAGTGTCCACTATTCATAGTCACGATCGTGTCCATCAGAGGATAAAATTAGAGGTGAGGTCAATGTAGACTAAGCCCTGAGGAGAGGAAAAAAAGATATCACTTCATGAGATTGGAATTATTTCCAAGGTGAAGACGTGTTTGTTTCACTAAACATGTGTGACTGTTATCCATGAAAGATCTGTATGTTGTTTTTAAAGTTCTTTGCGTTGTTTCAGGGTATCTTCATTTCTTACTTTTTCTTTTTAATCTTACTGTTTCTCTGTGTTGTACTGTTCCATATCGGTAGCACTTTCTAAACCTCTGTGCACCACCCATATTGAAATCTCGCTTCCCAGTAATGCAGAAATAATCTCAAAATTTCAGAGATTAAACAAGAAAAAAATACGCTGGACTGTAGAATTCAAGAATTGGTTTTAGCTAACACTTGCTTCGTTTCGAGTTTCTTACCGCATTAGGTTCAGATGGCAGAATCGACATGTCCACTGTGACCAGCTAATATAATTTCTCTGATTTCATTTTATAACTGAGAGAAATCTTATTCTCACTAACATTGTCCTTCAAGTTTTTGTGTTTTGTTTTTTCCTTTTGTAAACTTTCAGACTCCTAAGATGACAGCAAATGGCAACCACAGAGAAAGCCGGGTGTCTGCTTTCTCCCTGCAAGTCCTCTTAGAGGTCTGCTCCCTCACATGGGCAGAAAGGCAGAAGGTTGGGTTGAGTTGAGTTGGGAGGCAAAGGCAGGCACAACACTGAGTTTATTTGTTAAACAATCTATCTATAGTCTCCGATGTATTTTGTCTGAAGACATGTGTGGAAATGGACTCTGACCTTCTCTCCTGGCTGTTTAGCTATGTAACTAATCTCGTCCACAGCCTGTGGAATCCTCTGCGGCCTTGCGCATCCCCACCCACCCATTCCTCTTTATTGTATGGTTCTAATTAAAATATGTTCAGGGCCAAACCACAACAAATAAAAAACAAGTTAACAGTCACTTCACAATAGCACAAAGGAAAGCCCGGCGTCTTTGGATGGGTTTTGGAAGGATGGATATTGTGGTGAGCTGTTCCCTCTGGGTTGTAGGAAATGAGGTAAAATAAGGAATTGCCTGGCGCATGTTTCCTGTGCATGCAGACTTGGGCATTCTTAGACTGCTGTTATGCTCTCAGATTTTGTTATTGTTGTTGTTTGGTTTTTGTTTTCTTTACAGTACTGGGAATTTAATTCAGGGGCTTGCACTGGAACTTTTTTTGTCTTAAGGTCTCATGATTATGCCCAGCTGCTCTAAGCTGCCATCCTTTAAAAAAAAAAAAAAAAGAATCAGCCATTGAACTTGAACTCAGGGCCTGGACACTGTCCCTGAGCGTTTTCACTCAAGGCTAGCATCCTACCTCTTTGAGCCACGGCTTCACTTCCAGTTTTCTGATGGTTAATTAGAGATCAAGAATCTCACAGACTTTCCTGCCTGAGTTGGCCTTGAATCATGATCTTCAGATCTCAGCAGATCTCTTGAGTAGCTAGGATTACAGGTGTGAGCCACCAGCGCCTGGCAGCTTTCCTCCTGTTTATATTTCCCACAAGCACTCACCACCATTCACCACTCTGCATGATTTGTTTGTTGAAACAGGTTCCTGCTAATTTTTTTTGCCCAAGCTGCCTCCGAACAAAAATCTTCCTGATGTAGGATGACAGGCGTGAACCCCATCGAATGGCTGTGCTTTCATTTTTAAATTCTTAATGACTTCATGTATCCAAAAGAACAGTCAACCCTACAACCAACAATATACATCAATATACATTCTCTCTGACTCTCTGTCTCTGTCTCTGTCTCTGTCTGTCTCTCTCTCTCTCTTCCTCCCCCCCCCCAAGATAAGGTCTTACTACATAGCCCAGGCTAGTTTTGACTTTGTCTCAAACTGGGGTCATGTGCTACCACACATGACATACTGTACATTCTAAAAGATACCATTGAAAATACATCTTGTTCTGCTTCTAACAAGATTTATGCCTCCTGCTCCCAATTTAATTCCTTCTGATAAGTAATTTTCTATTGTGGAAATGCTTTATGCCTCATATAAAATCTAAAGTTCTCCAACAACAGCCTTACAATGAATCTCTTTGTCAAGGAAGCAAAGCAAATACAGCAACATGGGCGGATATAACATTATCTGAGAGATCGTTTTTTATGTCCGAATTATAAGGTCAATGAAGTGTTAAATTCTTTGAGGATATTTTTACGTTCTTCATGCTTTCTAAGCCCACTGCTTAGAAGCTTAGAAGCATACCTTTGATAACAAACAAGACATTCATCATAAGCAGAAGACCATTTCCCTTTTCTTATTCTGCTCTAAAAAGCAGCACCTTTCAATCAAGACTGAGAATTAAATTAGCTATGACAAGACTCAACTGCAAGCTTTTATTTGCTCTGAGATTTCTGAAACAGCGCCATCAATAATCACCAAAACACCAGAGGGCTTTGTAGTTCACATGGCTTTTGGAAACTTGTTCTGTCCATTTTCCTTTATTGTCAGGCCAAACAGCAAATGTTTATGGTTCCATGAAGGTTCTTCAGTTAGCAGTGACTTTCCTCTGTACAAACTGTATTTTCTGGAATAGTCTTCTTCTTGCCTCTCTGGCTCTGAAAAACATGCAGGCCACTCATCCATATATCCTGTTCAGAAAGTGAGAAAAAGGAATGGAACAAATATTCACCAACTCCCTGAAGTCAGGGAAAGGGCTAGATGAACAAAGTCTCATGATAGGACATCTGGACAGGGACTAGTCTTGGCAGAGAACAGACTGAATGACGACCAGCGAAGGGCTTCTTGACCTGCAGGTGGAATCTGGCCTGAGCTCTGGGTTAGCTGAGCTGTCCGTGTTGTTCTTCTAACTCACGCCATGCTGGTACCCGTATGTTCAATGTCTGAATTCCACACTGAACCCCGTATCTTGGTTGATTCTGAATTCTGGCACCTAGAACTTAGTGAATATCCAATGAGCACTTGTCAAAGAAATATGTGAACAGAAAAATGAGGAAAAGTAGAAATAGATATAGCATTTCTTTTGTTATTACTCAAGGCTATGTGTTTGGGGGTTCCATTTCTTTTTCTCCCCCCCCCCCAATTTGAGCCTCACAAACCAAGACTTGTTTCTATACTCAAAGCAAGACTAGAAGTCTTGGAGCTTGGAAAGCTGGGATTAATTCATCTCTACCTTCCAAATCCCTCCTTCCTTGCCTACCATTATGATGATCTCTCTAAAAGCCAAAAGGTATATTTCAACACACCAACATTTAGTGTGTCTATATATGGGTGCTATTCTTTTTTTTTAATTAAATACTAAAAATTGTTACTATAAAGGTAGCGTACAGAGGGCTTACCATTTCCTAAGTCAGGTAATGAGTACATTTCTTTTTAGACAATGTCACCCCTTCCATTGCTCTCTCCTAGTTTTGACAAGGTTTTGGCTTGTGATCCCACACCTGAGCCCACCTAACCTTCATGTAAACCCCGCCAAGAAATGATGGCATGACCAAGCAGGCTAGAACTTGGGTCTCTAGATTCTAGAAACAGCACGTTTTCAAGCAACCTCAGGGTTGCTTGTCAGGGCCAACTAGTCAGGACCCAGTGTGCCTACAGGCACAGCTGCAAGTCAACTTAGGTCCACATGAGAACGGATCCTCGCGAGGTCCAGTATGGTGCACCACCACCACCACCTGCTTACAGTGGCCTAGCCTTGACCGGACAGTTGCAGTTCTGAAACCCTCCGTCGTTGAGTAAAGCTGCTGCGTTCTGCGTGTTCCTCCTGCCAAGGGCTTCCTTTCTCACGTACTCCACTTTATCAGGAAGATCTGCCCTGGCCACTCAGTGTAAACCAAGACACCAGGACCCCAGGCACCCACATCCCCTTCCCTTATTCTATGCTTCTCCATATTTCTTTATTAACTGTCCCGTTCATGTATGCCTCATTGGGGCACATTATTATTTTATCCACTGAAATTCCGCCAGGGTCTTAACAAAAAAAAAAAAAAACTTTCAGGCATGTGTTAGTTACTAAAAAAGAAAAATCCTTTGAATTAATGGGTACATTTTGTCTTTGTGTCTCTAGTCTCTGACATACAAGAGGCAGTGCACTGTGTGTGTGTGTGTGTGCACACACGTGTGCATACACACGCATGCACACACACGCTTGAACTTGGGACCTCCCACTCACACTTGGCTTTTTCACTTAAAGCTGGTGCTCTACCACTTGAGCCACAGCTCTACTTCCAGTTTTTTTGCTTGTTAATTAGAGATGATTATTGGGTTTGCCTGCTTGGACTGGTTTCAAACCAGGATCTGTGAATCTCGGACTCCTGGGAAGCTAGGATTACAGCTGTGAGCCACCAGTACCCAGGAGCAGCACTATTCTATATAGCAGATTGATATAGTAAAGAATACAGAATTCTTAGCTCAGTGTGAGAGCTGTCAGAGCCGTGGATCTGCTCTCTGACATCCTTGTCACCTTCATCTGCCATCTTCCCTTCTCATCTTAAGGACATAGCCACACTAAACCCTTCTCTCTCTATAGTCAGGATAGGTGTCAGGCCCCCCTGTCTATCCTCACCTTTGCCCCTCCTCTTCCTTCTCATCCATAGCCCTGCCCACCCATGCCGGCTGCCCTCAAGTCAAAATTGCTCCTACTGATCAATTACAGGCTCTCCTTATTGCAGATTCCTTTGCATGTCTCTGTTTGTTGATAGGTTTCCATGATGTATCTAAAACTCTGAGCCACGCTGTGGTTCTGTAGCTCCTTCTACCTGTAATTCCAGCCAGCCTTCCTATCTGGCGCTCCTCTGGCTGGCAGGTTTGAAGCCTGGCAGTGGCTTGCTCATTCATCTTCATGTGGTGTCGCCTCACAGCAGAGAGACCCATGGCTTCCGTTTGTGTCCTGTGCTCCAGGCACCAGGCCAGAGGCTTTGCTCTCCTTCTCGTATCTCCACAAGAACCTTTCCAAGATTGCTATCACTCCATAACATTTGAGAGATGAGGTGATAGAGCTTCCGGGAAGGGAAACAGCTCGGGCAATCTTCAAGCCCATCTGCCTGTCAACAGCACCCGCATCCCCAGGTCCTTCCCAAGGCATCGCAGTTAAAGTGACCTGGCATTGATGCAACTCGTGCAGAAAATACCCGAGTTTAAAAATAAAATCACACGGTTTCTGGGGCTGGGAAGGTAGCTCAGTGGTAGAGCGCTTGCCTTGCAGGCCTGAGGCCCTGGGTTCTATTCCTCAGCACCACATAAGCAAAAAGAAAAAAGCCGGAAGTGGCGCTGTGACTCAAGTGGTAGAGCGCTCACCTTAAGCTGAAGAGCTGAGGGACAGTGCCCAGGCCCAGAGTTCAAGCCCCACCGGACCCAAAAAACAAACAAACAAAAAAAAACACATGGTTTCCATTCTCCCCTATTTTGATGTCTTTGAATGTAATAAGACTTATAAACTTTTGTTGAGAACTATTTATTTACTCCCCCTCCTCTCTCCTTTCTTCCTCCCCTTTCCCTTCCTCCCTCTTTCCCCTGCTTCTCCTCTTCCTCTTTTTCTTTTCCTTTTCTCTGTCTCTGTCTCTGACCTTGTCTGTCTGTCTGTCTGTCTTTCTCTCTCTCTCTCTCTCTCTCTCTCACACACACACACACACACACACACACACACACACAAATTGGTGACTGGTTGACCCTGTAACTTTTAAAAAGCTAAATATCAGATTTGGGCATTTAGCCCATGTACACTTTGGATTCAGTTTAAGGGGCAAGTGCTTCTTTGTGACATAAATGCATTGTGTGTGTGTGTTTGTGTGTGTGTGTATGAGTTGTTGTCATTGTTGTCGTTGTTGTTGATGATGATGATTTTCTTAAATAGACCTCATTTTTAGAGTGTCTTAAAACCCCAGATTTACTTCACGGTTTTGTACATCATCATGGCCTGATTGATGCTTCATTTTGGTCCCCAGTGTAGAAAGAAAGAAAGAAACCAGTTCTGTAGCATCGTTTCAGGGAAATATAATAGTAAAAGCGCTGTCTATTCCCTGGTGATTTCAAAGTGGGTTGGATAGCTATTCAAAGTAGCTGGAAGTCTTAAATAGCACTTTATTTTAAGCATCAGAACATTGCTTCTGCATTTACAAATTCACTTATAACTTCCAGATGTTCTTCGTTTCTTTTATAATTAATGAGAGTACATTTGCTAAAAATAAATTTCTATTTGCTTGCAAAGAAAATCTCACATCCAGATCTGTGCCACTTGAGAAATACATTTGTGAATAAACACTTTTTTGAGAAAGACATTTGCTTGTAATTTTATAAGAGCAAGAAGAGTGTCAATAGCATAGTTTTACAAGAGTGGGACAGTAAAAAGACAATTTCCGTGCCAAAAATCTGAATACCAGTGCTGTTTCCGCACACACGTGTGTGCACACACTTGCACACACATGTGCACACACTTGCACACACAGATAGAATATTAGCCTTTGGGGAGGGCTCTCCCTTTGTCACATGTAGGTGCCACTAGTGAGCAAAAACAAATGTAGCTGAGTATTTAGTATTCAGAGTAGAATGAAGAGTAGGGGGGTGGAAATAAGTAATAAATTATGTATCACTGACTTGCCAGCTCCTGGTTTTTTACTCAAAAAAGAAAGAAAGAGAGAGAAAGAGAAAAAAACTTCACTCTCTCTGTGTAATTTTGGCACATTCCCAGAATGTATGTTCCTTACTTCTGGCTAAGATGCCAACTCCCCCCCCCACACACACACATACCCCGTGCTGTTTGAATTTGCACAACAACACTGCTTTAATACACACACCTCCTCCCAGCTTCTCCAAAAATAGAGAAAATAGCCACAGGAAATCTGGGAATGTGCAGGTAGACCCCTTCTTAATTGATCTATGGGGGGGGGGGAGTGTCCTCCAGGCGGCCTCTGTCCCTCCCTGCCTTGCAGGACTGTTTACCTAAGGGGCACAGAAGCCTGCAGGGAAAAGACACCAGGCTGCTGGCCCCAGCCCTAGCAACAGAGGCAGCCCGGGTTTTGTTGTTGTTTACAGTCTAAGGAGCTATGCTCCTTTAAGGGAACACAAACTCCTCTCCCTCCTTCCTGGGCCCAGTCAGTAATCAAAGGGACAGACAGCTGCCTGCAGCTCTCAGGAACAGCCCAAGAAATCCTCTCTCTCTCTCTCTCTCTCTCTCTCTCTCTCTCTCTCTCTTTCTCTCTTTCTCTCTCAGTTAAAGGCACGCAGATGGACAGTGGCCTTTCGCAGCAGAGCGGCCAGCTAGTATCCGTGTCCCCAGGGCATGGAGCCGGGGTTGTGACTGAGCCGGGGGCAGAGGCGGCCGTAGCCGGGAAGGTTTCCTCCTGCAGAAGGCGCGGAGGCGCTGCCGTCCTGCTGGGGCTGTGGTGAACGTTTTGCTGTTGGGGGAACCTTGTGTCTCTTCCTGCAGAGCGCCAGCATGAAGATCCAGGAGCATCCCAGTATCCCCGACGCGAAGCAGCCCAGGACGGATGCCGACGGCCCCCCGCAGGAGAGCTTTGTCTCCGAGGTTCCCCCACTGGACCTGCCCGCGCTGTGTGACCAGAAGAGCTGGGAAGGTAGGCGATCGACGCCGCCGCCGCGGCCGCCACCACCATGGAGTGGGGTGGGGGAGAATGCAGATGGAAGGAAGCACAGATGGAGCGTGGAATTGTGTGTGCCCGTGGGGCTGCGAGTGAGAGCCATGCATGCAGAAGTAACTGCTTTCCGGGGGACCCCCCCATCCCTCCACCTGGCACAGGAATACAGGAATGTGTCACTTTAAATGCTGCTGGAGGTGAGGGGTAGTGGGGGACAGGAAAAAAAACGTGCGTGTCCTGTGTTACCTCGCAGCCTTTTTGTGTTCTGTGACTCACCTGGAGCTCAGCATAGGGCAGGGGGCAAGGGGCCAAGAGGCTCTTCCTCTTTGCCCTGGGCCGCCTCCTCTGCCCAAGGCTCTTCAAAGCCTGCCACCTACCACCGTCATTCAACCTTCTGATTTTGTTTCGCTCCCCCCCCCCCAGAAAGAGGTTTGGGGTCGGCTTTGTCTCTGGGATTCTTTCTATGGAACCCTTTTGCGTTTAGAACTCAAGGTAACAAACTTGAGGGGTCTGCTTAGCAAATATTGAATATCAAGGCTTTCTACCCAAAACCTGTCACTCAAGGCTGGGCATTGGTTTGTTGTTGTTTTCCCTGGAGACTTTTTTGAGGAAGAAGAGGGTGCCTGGGCCCCGTGGTCTCAGGGGAATAGGGCAAGAGTTTGATCAATACTTGCTCTCTTTCATTACCTCACCTCTGTGTGGGGGCACCAAGACTCTGAACCTGTGTGGGTGAATAAAACAATAAACCCAGGGGGTGCCAACCACAGAGAAACTGGATTTCTGATTTTAGTATAAAAGGGCACCTTTGCACAATGACTTAGCAGAGTACCACAACTCTGAAAATCTCAGTTGTTTTCAGTGTCTTCCGTCCCTCCCTTCTCCTCCTTTTTTTTCTTTTCTATTTTAACGGGAGTTGTACTCTTTATGCTAACTTAGATGAAGGATCCAAAGGTGTCTGCAAAGTCCTTCAGATGAAGAAGTAACCCTGTTAAACTCTTGGGCATACAGATCCTTAGTGAGAACAGACTGGTTTTATTCCAGCTCTTTCTCCTCTAAGGAACCTGTTCTGGTTCTTTTCATATAATTAAACAGTGGTTCTGAGATTTGTTTTTATCAGATTAATCCAGCTCACAGTGCATGTATTGAAGTAGGGGGAAACATGTTTGTCTTGCTTTTTTGTTTTGTTTATATATATACATTTATTGTCTTTAAATACATGTAAAAGGGGTCTCAACTCAACATACCTTGCTTTGTTTTTTAATTAATTTAATATATTATTGGGAATTGTTTGTTTCTTGATATATTTCTGGGAATGGCTTGGTTCTTTTTTTCATCTTTGCATACTTTAAAATAATCATATGTGTTTTTAATCCATATCTTAAAAGTATCCTGCTTGGTAAGGGGCCAAAAAGAAAGTGTTTCATGTAATCACTGCTGCCCAGATGAAAGTTAAGAAGGAAAAATAATAATTAAAAAAGAACAATAATGAAAATTAATGCTGTATTTGAGTTTTAGTGATAGGGTCTGCAAGTCTGCAAGAAAGCTTGAGATAAAAATTAGGATTTGGAGTCTGAAATCAAATCAAGCACATTTGCCTCCTGCCCCCCCCCTCCTGACATAGACTGTTTGATCATTGTTATGTCACTTAATTATAAATTTACAGTGTTTCCCAGCACACTCACAGAAGCAAATAGAAAGCTGAAAATTCTCTCCAGCATGGCTAAAAGCCAATTTTTAGTTTTCTAAACACTGTTTTATAACTTTCTCTCCCAGATAAATAATAATAAGGTAAACAAGCTGGCCTGTTATTTGGAAATCCAGATAGAATGTTTTCAGAAACATTATTAGTGGCAAAATATGTTCCATTCTAAATAGACTTTGGGGATGTGAATTTTTGTTATCCATATAATTTATGAATGGCTTTCTCTGACTTTTTTATTGTCAGTTAACTGAATTCGTTGTTAAACTTGTCTATCTTAAAAATCTACATGGATTTCAAGGCCATCTTAACCATTTGCTTTCTTTTTTAACCTTTCAAATGGCAATATGGCAGCAGTATATCTGTAGGTATGTTCTACATAAAAGGAATTTCTGAAAATGAAAGCAGTGTTTGGTCACTAAAAGATTGTTCCTTTTACAGCTTAGTAACAAACAAAATGATGGCTCTCCCATAAGAAATAAATGTGGCCCTAATTTAAGCTGTGCGTGTGGAGCCAGGGCAACAAAACATAAATGAAGGTAGTAATTACCAAAACCTTATAAACCAATGACCTGCTGGAAGCCACTGTTTGAGGAAGCCCTCTGTTCCCTGTCCCCTGCTCTTCTCTGTCCCCATATCATGGCTCAGACTTGCAGTGATGTGGAATCACAGATTATCTATCAACTGAGTTAGAATGTGGTGAGCAGCCTGGGGGTGAGATCCCAGAGGATGGAAACCATGCTGTCTGCCTTCTGGGGTCAATGTCAAGAAAACATATGTGTGTGTGTGTGTGTTGTGTGCATGCATATGCATCTAATACATGATATATTTAACATATAATTTAACATATAAATCATATACTGAATGTATGCTTTCTGTAATAGTTCATAATCTATAGCTATATTTTAGGGTGCATTATGTCATCCATCTACAGGACATGACTTTCATTGTTATTCCTAGGATTTTCACTTTGCAAAGCTAAATGAATATACAAATCACATGTGCAACTCTGTGGTGGGAAGCTCTGTGTAGTTGCAGAATGAGAATAACCTCAAGAAGCTTTTTTTTTTTTTTGCCAGTCCTGGGGCTTGAACTCAAGACATAGACACTGTTCCTGAGCTTTTGCTCAATGCTAACATTCTACCACTTGAGCCACAGCACCACTTCTGGATTTTTCTGTTTATGTGGTACTGAGGAATGGAACCCAGGGCTTCATGCATGCTAGGCAAGCATTCTGTCACTAAGCCACATTCCCAGCCCAATGAAGAAGCCAATTTGTATTGATTTGGGGGAGGTGTTGTTTCTGAAAGTACTGCAGTTAATAAACATTCACCTCTTCTTTCTTTGTGAAATTAAGTTTTAAATGCTATTTATTATCGATTCATTTATTTATTTATCTAAGAGGAGGTCTTGCCTTGTAGCCCAGTCTGACCTCAAACTCTTGATATTCCTGCTTCAGTCTCCCAGGTACTGGGATTATAAATATACATCACCATGCCCAGCTAAAAGTCATAAAAATACTTAACATCTCAGTCATCATTAGATGTATCTAGATAATTACTTTGGAAAAGAAATTCTTCTAACAAACCATAAGAAGAAAAGGATTGCACAAGTTCCTCCGGTTGAACTCTTCTATCAAATATGAGCCTCATGGAGGTAAAATGAGGATTTAAAGTAGAGTCTCCTGTCTTCTAGCTGAATGAAACTCCAGAGTAATGAGGTTTAGGCATCCAGGCAGCGGTAGATCAAAGTGGTTCAGAACCAGACTCCTGGATTCCAGTGCTTGCCTTGCCACTTCACCAGTTTTCTGCACCTTTAAGAAAGTATAACAAGAACAGGTAGATCATGGTACTAGCTTGCTTGCTAAGGAATAGTTGTGAGAATTCAATGTTAAAATGTGCCAGCTGTTGCACACAGTGTGGCTGCATGGTAAGCACTTCTATGATTGTCATTGCCTTCCACAAATACCTAGAGTCTGAGGAAAAACCAGCTTCTCTTGAACTTGAGTCCATTCTATGTAATGACCATGGATGGTCCAAACTCAGTAACGACCCAGCCCTCCATGGCTATTCCTAGGGTATACCACCCACACTACCTTCCTGACTCTGACGGTGTGTTAGACTCAGGGCTGAGAATGCTGGGCCTGGGTCAGGCCTTCTTCATACCTTTGTCCTAAATATACAAGGGCTAGAAGACAGGTAAGGTAGTGAATTAGTAACGAATTAAGCAACTACCTCAAAATGTGCACATTCATGGATCAAGGTCAGCTCTGGTAGGGATGCTCTCTCATTGGTTAAAGTCCTCAGCCCTGTTCACTTACACACACTTGCCAGTGATTTCAGTCAAGCTATCCAGAATCTGCTACTAAATTTGCAGATTGGGCAAAGCCAATAGATGAAGCAAGAATTATATTTAGGTCTGATAAAGCTGGTTACTAGGGTTCATTCTAAATCTGGTAACTTTCCAAGACTGAACAACTTAAATAGCACTACTGTTGTTCTAAGGTTCGACTTTGGAACACTAGAAAATAAAAATAAATAAATAAAATTATAGGAGATCCTACAAGGGCTGGGATGTAGCTCAGTGGCAAAATGTCCTGGGTTCAATCCCAAGTCCCAAAAAAGAAAAGACCAGAAAAAAATTCCTCTAAGAAAGGAGCCAGACCTCAACAGAGTCTCTGGGAAGGGAGATGGCCAGACATCTTGCCAGGCAGTTATGGGTGCAAAGAACATAGCCAGAAGTGAAACATGGAAAACCTCAGCTCCCTTAATTCCATGCAGAGTTCTTAGAAATAAGTCAGCTCAATCACAGCCTTCTTTTCTATGGTACATGGATCCAGCATTTCCTCTAAGCACCATGGCCGTATCTCAATGACTACACTGCCATTACTCAGAGATGTGGTTCCTCTTGCTACAGTGCGTTTCCTTTGTTTCCATGGGTACTAAAGTGTCTGTATAAGAACTCCCCCAGGACCTATTTTTCTATCACTTAGATAGCAGGAATATAGCTTTTATCTGTGTTATTTCTGACCTGCTGTGATGTCAGCTGACCTGCCTGGATAGATTAATTTTTAATCGAGAAATATGTCATAATTATGTTCGTAGTTCATCGTGACAAGGCATGCCACTACCAAGGAATTCTAGTCTAGAGATGACAAAAAGCAAAATCATTGACCCAAGGAACTCTGGTCTCAATAGGAAAATACACTTAAATGGAACTTTAGCAGGGCAATCCATTTGAAACATCAGATATTTTTTTGTTTTCGCTTTAAGTAATTTTCTTGTAATATCTTTGTTTTATTGCCCTACAGTTACTGATTAAGATGTCAAACAATTGGACATTATTTACCACGTTGCCCTATGCAAATCTTACTCAATTTTTTAGGTGTGAATCAACTATTCATACACAAGCTAACGTTATATTCTTAGGTCATTTCAAACTAAAATGTAGAGGTAATGTTTCTTTAGTTATATTGAATGATGTTCTGTCTCTTTGTAACTTTGTTGAATGGGATTTTTAAATTATAAGAGAATAACAGGAAAGGGGGGAAGGAGAGAAATTGTTAAGTATTTCATATTACAGAAGCAGGAACTATTTCACTCCTGTTTGTCCTGATGGCTAATGATGAAATATTCTTTCTCATTGTCTTCAAAGTTGCAACTCATTGTGGTTTTACATACCACATAAAATGAATATGAAAATGAATTCTTGCTGAGAGTCTCATGCCTGTAATCCAAGCTACTTTGGAAGCAGAGATCTGACAAATCTATGAGACTTTTATTTTCAATTAACAACAAAAAGCTAGGAGTGGGGCTGAGGCTCAAGTGGTAGAGCAGCACCATCCTTGAGCTTTGAAGTCAGGCAAGAGCATAGGACCTTGAGTTCAAATCCCAGTATCAGCACCAAAAAAAAGGAGGAAGAGGAGAAGGAAGAGGAAGACGAAGAGGAGAAGAAGGAGGGTGAGGAGGAGGAGGAGAAGCAGGAGGAGGAAGGAGGGGGAGGAGGAAAGAGGGAGGAATAGGAGGAAGAAGAAGAAGAAAAGAAAATTCTTTTGCCCACCTCGATGATTTAATTAGGAAAATGTCACTTCTGGGGCTGGGATTTTTGCACCTAGGCACTGTATGCCTCTGGTGGTGACCCTGGGAAAAGAGTGTATTAGTTCCTCGTGTCCTTGAGATGTTGGGTCCAAAAGGAAGCTACAGAATGGAGCTGTGTTAACAAACAAGAAAATTGATAGATGGCCACCAAAGTCCAATCATAACTGAGTTCCGTGATTGGCATTTTATAATGAACTCAAAGTCACAGTTGATTGGTGACATCCCTCTCTTGGCCACATGCTTAAAAATGGTAAAGATTAATTATAACATTGTAAAGGAGATATTCTGCTAGATTCAGATACACCAAAGGGCTGAGGATTTAAGGTTCTCAGATCGTTTCTTTTCTTAATGAGTAGAAATGTCAAACTAGCCAGGACACCCTTATGCCAATATCAACATGAGACTTTGTTTTGCCAAAGCCCTCTGTCCCCATAAAATTTCTTGCCCTTCCCCCTAGTTGTTTTGCTGTAAGGTTATTACTGGCTGCATGGCTGTTGGACCCAGCCGGAGCCTTCCTTTCTCTCCTCTTCTGTCCAGGCTGAGTTTTGTCCTTACAGAAAGAGACTGCCGTCTTAAGAAATGGAAGATGAAATCTGATCAGCTCAGCACTTCCATTTTTGGCAACTGTATTTTTACTTTTGTTCAGGGATTACTTTCCACTCACCCTCTCCTAACCTCTCAGTCCATTTCTCCCCCTTTTTATGTTGGCAAAGCTGAGCTGTTCAGATCTAAGCCCTGCCACTTAGCAGAAGATGGATGGCATTTGGTGCAAGTGCTGAGATGTCACATGATTCTCCTCTCCTCAACTTCCTGAGCCTCAACACACACGAATCATGTCTGGAACACACTTCCACTTTTCAAAGGATTGAAAAGTTATCTGTGTTCTCAGATAACTTGGGTTCTCTTACATATTGAACCTCCTTTCACATGAAGCAATTTTTTTTAATGTGCCTCTCTTCTCTATTTTGCTGTGGTTTCTTCACAGTTTTCATGAAAGACCCAGCCGATGCAAAATGGAAGCACTGATCTGAAGGCAAGGGACCAAGTTTCAGAGCCAGCACTTGCTATTGATTAAGTTTCGCTGTCATCTGCTAAGGGATCCCCTGGTTCTCAGACCCGTCTACACTCCAGATCACCTGGAAAGCTTTTACGTGTGGGGTTGTGTGTCTCTGTGTCTGTCAGCCAGGCACAGCAGGACCTTCACTAAACATCCTGCTCACCTGGGTGGAGTAGAGCTCAGTATGGATATTTCCCTATGAGACTATAATGAGAGAAATCGTGGATTATGAATGAGGCTACTCCTAGCTCTAGATTTTTAAAAAAGAGCCAGATCTCTAGATAAAAAGAGAACCAGGTCTTTCTTCCTAGATAAAAAGCCTATGTAAGAAATAATAAACTCATTTAACGTAAGTTCATACATTTTATAGTTTCATGGCTGAAGGAGCAGCTGACAGTTTCATGATTCAGAATATAAAAATCTCAGAATTTAAGAACAATAAACAAATTTCAGCCTTATGTAACTGACTAACTCACAAGTACAATTAAAGCTTAGCTTTTTTTCAATGCAGAGTATTCTAAATAGAATACTGTACAACCCTGAGACTTACCTTTAAATTCTTTTCAGTGATTTTTTTTAATAAGGTAGAGGGACTTAGAAATAAATATCAAGGAGGGTCTAACAGTTAATTGAATGAACATTACCCTTCTCCCTCCCAAAATGACAGGTGGGGATTGTTGAAAATTCTCTTATCCAGCCTGGGCCTCTGGAGAGTGTTGTTTTTTGTTCCCCTCCTCTTTGGACTTATTATGTTCTCTCTCTAACTGTATTCTTAAGGCACTGCTGCAATTCCAAGTGCAAAACAATGAATCAGAACCAGGGCTAATCCCAATCACTAAGCAGAAGCACAGGAAACAGCTTAGTGAAGGACTGAAGTGAAAGTTGTGAACCCTCAATTGGCTCTCACAAAGCAAATGTGATGGCTAAGTCATTTTAATGCCAGCCATGGTACCAAATGCCTCTCTTTTCTTTTCAGCAATAGCTTATGTGTAAAAGTTTTCATCACTGACCTGCTGGCCCTGCTCCTTCCAACCCATTCATCAGAGCATTCATAGCAATTTATTTTTGTTTTGTCCGTTGTGGGGCTTGAACTCTGGGCCTGGGCGCTGTCCCTCAGCTCTTCAGCTCTAGGCAAGTGCTCTACCACTTGAGCCACAGCACCACTTCCGGTTTTTCTGGTGGCTAATTGGAGATAGGATTCTCACAGACTTTCCTGGCTTTGAGCTGTGATCCTCACATCTGGATAGCTGGGATTATAGGCGTGAGCCACCAGCGCCCAGCTCATAGCAAATTCTTTTTTGAGAGCAGGTAAGAATAGAGATAAAATGTGGAGAATGTATACAATGTGATCATTTTAATCTGTCCCTGGTATCTAAAATGAAGATCCATGCAGTATACAACTTCTAAAAGCATTCGGGAACAGTAATTCCCAAACCGGTGTTGCCACTGATTGAGATACGTTTTACTTATCAATTGATTTGTTGAATTAAAACCCCTTTGTACTTAAAGATAATAATAAAGCCAGACACCAGTGCCTCACACCTGTAATCCTAGCTACTCAAGAGGCTGAGAGCTAAGGATCTTAAAGCCAGCTGGGGCAGGAAAGCCTGTGAGACTCTTTATCTATGATTATCCACCAAAAAGCTGGAAGTAGAGCTGTGTCTCAAGAGGTAGAGTGCCAGCTCAGGGACATCACCCAGCCCTGAGTTGAAGCCCCAGGACCTACACACGCAAACACAAAAAGATAATAATAATAACAATGTGAACAATGTTGATCTCTTTTTGCCATTTTTTTCCCCAGAGCCGGTCCCTACCTTTTCCTCCTGGCAGCGGGAGAACGTGGACTCTGACGAAGCCCGCCTCTCCCCCCAGGCTGGACGCCTGATTCACCAACTTCTAGACGAAGACAGTGACCCCATGCTCTCCCCTCGCTTCTACGCCTATGGGCAGAGCAGGCAATACCTGGATGACACAGAAGTGCCTCCATCTCCCCCCAATTCCCATTCTTTCATGAGGTAGGTGGATATGGGCTGCTAGTAAGCAAATGGGTCATGCCCACGAACTGAGGAGAAAATAGAGATGGTGCTGATAGCTGGGGACTTTGTAAAAAAAAACAACATTTACCCAAATGTTTACAAACAAGACCTCACCAAAGCTACCAGCACAACTATGTTTATTGCAGCATTATTTACCCTAGCTAAGATATGGAACCAACCCAGATGCCCCTGAGTAGATGAATGGATCAAGAAAATGTGGTATATATACACACAATGGAATTGTATGCCTCCATCAGAAAGAATGACACTGCCCCATTTGTTAGGAAATGGAAAGGCTTGGAAAAAATTGTATTAAGTGAAGTAAGCCAGGCCCAAAGAAACATGGGTCCTATGGTTTCCCTTATTTGCCATATCTAGTATATGTCTGAGTCAAGCAGAAAAAGTCAGATAAGTTGATGTTGGGGAAATGAACCCTAAGAGATGTATTCAAATGTTTTTTTTTCTTTCATGTGATTGTTTCTAAGACATTTATAAGATTATTTCTTTGTTGATTTGCATGTCCCTTCCCCACAGTATAACCCCTGCTTTCACTGTATTTGATGTCGGTATACTTTGTGGAGGGAAAGGAGAAAAACCAATCGTTTAAATAGGGATACAGGTGGACCCATTGCAACAATGAGATGTAACAAACTTTACAACTTTGGTGGGGGGGGGGGAAGGAGGGAGGGGAGCCGGGAGGTTGGGGGGGGGGGGGGGGGGGGAGGATGGGAAGGGGAAACAAAGGAGGAGGCTACAATGCTTGATAAGAAATGTACTCATTATCTTGCCCATGTAATTGTAACCCCTCTGTACAGTATTTTCACAATAAAAAAAATGTCATTCAAAAAAAAAACCCAACATTTAAATTGGAGTCTATGCAGGAACACCACTGAAATTTTCCGTCCTAGTAGGCTCTTTTTGTGGCTTTCCAGTTGAACCACAGCCCAACTGCAACACTGCGTTCAGATTCCCATTCTCATTGCTTTCCTGAGTTCCTTAGATCTTTTACATTAGGCCTGTCTTTGCTAATGGTAAATGTGAGTACAGAAAGGCTAGGGGCACTTTGCAGGTGGGACAGACAGAGCTCAAAGTTGCTCCTTTTTTTTTTGAGAGGATGGGCGGGAGCCATCCTCTTCCCCTGGTCACACATCACATCCAGCGTCCATGCCCCAAGGCGTCTCCCAGACACCAGGGGTTGTTTATGGGAGGAGCTGACCTAGGTTGTGCCCCTCACAGGCGAAGAAGCTCCTCCCTGGGGTCCTATGATGATGAGCAGGAAGACCTGACACCCGCCCAGCTCACCCGAAGGATTCAGAGCCTAAAAAAGAAGATCCGCAAGTTTGAGGACCGATTTGAAGAAGAGAGGAAATACAGAGTAAGTGTCCCCACTGAACCCCCTGTTCCTCCTGGCTCCTGGCATGCCAGCATGTCAGTGACTCAGAGAAGGGACACTTTGAGGGAATCTCAAAACAAAAGACAACCCAGACACTAAGGTAATCCTAGCTTCTCAGGAGGCTGAGATCTAAGGATCAAGGTTCAAAGAAGCCAGCCCAGGTAGGAAGGTCCATGAGACTCTTATTCTGAATTAACCAGCAAAAAGCTGGACATAGAGGTATGGCTCAAGTGGTATAGCAGCAGCCTTGAGTTCACACCTAAGTTCACGCCGCAGTGCTGGCACCTGCATGTTGTAAATGTGAGCAGGAATGGGAAAAAGCAGTGGATGAAATCTTTGTTTTGGCTCAAATTTAGTTCAAGATCATCTTCTAAACTTTCCTTAGTGCTGATCTCATTATACTTTCAGCTCTATTCTAACGCTTTCCACTAGGGGGGCTAGAAGTCATGTTTCATGGTTTCAGTATTTTCTGCTACATTAGCCAGACAGGCTTTTGTAGGTTTCCCACCAAAAAAAGAAAAGAAAAAAATGGCAAGAGCTGGGTACTGGTGGTTCATGCTTATAATACTAGCTACTCAGGAGACTGAGATCAGAAGGATCATGGTTCAAAGCCAGCCTTTGAACCATTTAAGTCGGTGAGACTCTTATCTCCAATTAACCACCAGAAAAAAAAAAAAAAGGTTGGCTTAAATGGTAGAGCCCTAGACTTGAGCAAAAAAGCCCAGGGACAGCACCCAGGCCCTGAGCTCAAGCCCTGGGACCAGCACCAAACAAACAGATGGAAAGAGGATTATGCTCTTCATAGATGTCCATCCATACTCAGAAAGATCCAGTATTTTGCCTCTAAGGAATCCTTCCAAATCATCAACTATAATGCGCCATAACGAAGAATGACAAAAAACAAAGTTTACTCTGCTGAATCTTGATGAATTTCTTAGTCTGAATGGACTCCACTTTGACTTCCTGATTAATTTAAAAAAAAGCAAAGAAACAAAAACCAGATCATCACCCTACCTTCCTCTGAAAACATTGACTCTCCCCTTCTCAGCCTTCCCACAGTGACAAAGCGGCCAATCCCGAGGTTCTCAAGTGGACGAATGACCTTGCCAAATTCCGGAAACAACTCAAAGGTAAGCACCCACGCTCCAGCTCCGTGACGTAGCCTCCGCGCAGCCAGCTGGGCGCTGGACCCGCAGCCTCGGGTCTCACTCAGTACCACTGATGGGGTCTTGCAGGGGCCCCTTGCGTCAGGACCCTTCTCCTGGACCTCCTTAGTGTCTGGGTCACAGAACAGCTGAATCTGCTGTGATCCCAATTCCACAGCATTCCTCCATCCCCTCCACTCAGGAAGAGGCTGGTGGCTCAGGTCATCATTTCTGAAGCACCTGTTTATTCTAAGGCTGTGTCCTCAGCAGACAGGTAGACCCAGAGACGAATCTGTGAAAAGTTTGACCTCTGGCCCTCAAATAGCTTGTGTCATGTAAGAGAGAATCTTACCAACAACTAGATAGTATATAAAGTGAAAACATTTCAAAATGATGTGCGTCATCCAGGAAAACTCGCCCAGTTATAGATGAGCTCATCACATACCTCCGTGCGTAAGGAAGTGAGCGATGGGAAAGAATCTACCCATGCGGAGAACATCATCCAAGGCTGAGGGAGCCACAGCACAGGTGTGAAGGAGCTAACGCTTTCTCAGGAATTAGGGTTTGGGAAACAGTCCAGATCATCCAGGAAAACATGATCATTATTTTGGGTTTTACATAATGACTCAAGGATTTCCACTGATATTATAATTAGATACTCTCTGGAGAAGAAAAAAAAGATATGGCTAAGCAGTTATTGGCATCACAGAAAAGCAATTTGAGCTCATCAGGCATCAGTTCTCATATCTCTCTACCCCCCCAAATCACCTCCCCTAGATTCAAAACTAAAGATCTCGGAGGAGGACCTCACCCCCAAGATGCGGCAACGAAGCAACACGCTCCCCAAGAGTTTCGGCTCCCAGCTGGAAAAAGAAGACGAGAAGAAGCAGGAGCTGGTGGATAAAGCCCTCAAACCCAGTGTGGAAGTCACGCTAGAGTGTATTCAGCGGAAGCTACAGGAAAAGCGAGCAGAAAGCAGCCGCCCTGAGGACATTAAGGTGTGAGGATTCTCTTGAAGGTCCCTGGAGACCTCCTGGTCCTAGAAACACAGGACAGGGGTGCCACACAAATCCCCCTGGACACATGATGCTTTCTTAAACCTCCCGCTCATCTAGAGGAGTTCTATTGTTGGCTACAGATGGAAAGCAGACAGTTCTAGGGGACAAACTGTACAATGAACTCCCTGAGGTTAATCATAGATGTGTGTTAACCTGGCGAAGGTTATAGACAAATCTGCTGCAGGGCCCTGGAAGTTCTAACTCTAGCCATTTCTGGGGCCGTTCAGCGCTGCCCCTTGTATCTTGAAAGCTTGATTTCCTCAGTCTTTGCAGCATGCAAGCGTGTGGTTCTGACTGCTGCATTGGCCATGTACTGGCAGGAGGTCAGGTGGTGCTCACTCCTAAGTGAGCTTTCGAAAGAGCCAGGGAGAGCTCAGACGCTTTTCAACATCGGCTTAGTGGGGTTGTTTAACACAAAAATAAGTCGGAATGTTCACAAATGTTTCACACGTCTTTCACGTCTCATCCTCATGTTTATACAGGATATGACCAAAGACCAGATTGCTAATGAGAAAGTGGCTCTGCAGAAAGCGCTGCTGTATTACGAAAGCATCCATGGACGGCCGGTACGTGATGCCCTGGATTTTCTGATTGGGAAACAGATTTAGAAATGGATTTGCGACATTCAATATCCAGTAGATGGGACTCTCTAGTGTTTGCTTTCTTTGTATGTAAAATAAAGAAGGCTTAGTTTGTGTTTACACTCTATCTACACTTTTGGAAGGCTTCAACCATGAGAGGGTTGTGTTAGCTAGTAGACACTAAACTGCAATTAAATTAGTGGAAATTTTACCTAAAATTAAGTCACTGGTATCTTATTGAGGGGACCAGAAGAAGTGAAGGGGAGAGTATAGAATGCACAGTGAGAAGACTTCCCGGCTTCAGGTCTGCCCCAAAAGTTGTGGATGGCTCGTGTTGGCTTGAGCATGTACTAATGAACTCTGTCTCTTTGAAAGGCAGGTGCAGGCCCTGTTTGTTTATGAAGGGTTTTCAGGTGCGCTCAGAATGAGCAGTGTGAAGTGTCCACAACACGGCTCTGCCTTTTCAATAAGGCAGTGCGCATGTGAGGGGGCTTGTTACTCTGTACGCATTTGGTGTAAGCTGCCGGGGAGAGAGGAACGAGCTAGGCCTCCACTGTCTTCTTTGAGGACCTCTGACCAGACATTCTTGCATTCTTCCTGCGGGTTACTCTGGCAGCCCTCCCTTCAGAATGTTGTCAAGAGCACAACAAAGCCCAGCCCTTCAACGCAGCAAGGACGTTCAAGTTCACAGATTCACAGATAAGATTTTAATCGAACCAAAAAAAGCACAGTATTCTTCTCCAGCCTCAAAACTCTGAAGTAGATGTAGACTTTTTCATCTAAAATATACTCTTTTGTATAAAAAAGAAACCTCCAGAATGATTTACTAGAACTGAGGATCTCACCCAGGGTCTTTGTGTGTGGGTGTGTGGGTGTGAATCCTAGGGTTTGAACTCAGGGCCTGGATACTGTCCCTGAGCTATTTTGTTCAAGGCTAGAGTGCTATCATTTGATCCACAGTTCCACTTCTGGTTGTTTAGTGGTTAATTGGAGATAAGAATCTCACAGACTTCCCTACTTGGCCTGGTTTCGAACTGTGATCCTCAGATCTCAGCCTCCTGAGTCCCTAGCATTACAAGTGTGATCCACTTATACCGAACTGAACCTCACACTCTCAACTGCTAGGCCAGTATGCCACCACTGAGCTCCACCCCCAGGTGCTAGGATGAAGGCCTGTGAAGGCAGTGGGTATTGTCCACCTAATGGTGGATCTAATCGTCATATCTAGGGCAAGCCCTGTCATGCAGCCCAGATGCAGCGACTATTTGCGGACTGGATCCGCCACTGCACTTCGCTGCTGAATACATCAGGTTTAAACTGTTTTCTTTTTTTTAGAAAATGCTGGAAGTGACGATGATTGATTTTGCGGGCCTGTCCTTGCAGTGGAAAAATACTGGCTCTCTGGGATAATGGTCATGTTTCAGCCAAATTTTGTTTCGGATTTTTGAAAGGCATTGAAGCAAATAGTTAGATGATCTAGAGCTCAGATACGTGGTGAAATCTGATCCTTCTCTGCTCGAGTATTCAGGGAAATTCAGGGAATACTGCAGCAGAACTGAACTCCAGTAGAACTGAACTCCATAAACACAGCCTGCCACCGCAGGCTCAGGACGCTAAGTATGGAGCTTGTAACCATCAGGCAGGGTTCACTGACACCTTAGTTTTTGTTGTTTTGTTTTTGCCAGTACTGGGGCTTGAACTCAGGGCCTGGGTGCCATCATTTAGCTTTTTCACTCACGGCTGGCGCTCAACCAGTTGAACCACAGCTCAGTTAATTGGGGAGATAAGAGTCTCACAAGCTTTCCTGCCCAGGCTAGCTTCGAACCATGATCCTTAGATCTCAACCTCCCTGAGTAACTAGGATGACAGTCGTGAGTCACCCTGACACCTGGTATTTTCCTCCTTGTATGTTCTTCTTTTCTCCGCGTGGATCCCAGCTATGACATTGATATACTCTTTGAAGGGCTTCCTGACTATGGCTTCCAAGGGCTCCCCAGCCACCTTCTGGATTGATTTGAGCTCAGCTTGTATTCTGTCGTAGTGGTTACTCCAGGCTGGACAGATTCTCTCCTTCCACTTGGACCAAGGCCATGTGCAGACACTGAGCCTTGGAGTCGCAGGCCTAGACTGGGGCCAGCTTTGTGGCTTTAGAGTTCTTGGAACCTCTAGGACCCTCAGGAGCTTTGTTTATAGAGTAGATAGCTGTTGTGAGTTGTCATGGAAATTAAGATATTACAGACACACACACGCAGACATTCACTTGTATGTTTACCTGTAGGATGTCTGGTACTGCAGAAGTGGGGCCACGTGGCTTTGAGGCTTGCACAGTAATTGATAGTTTTGACTTCTGTTGCAATTATAAGTTTTACTCTCTGCAGCCTCGTTCTGATTAAATGACTACATTGGGACCAAAACTGTGCCCTTTTACTCTCTTATCCTTGGGACTATGAGATGTTCATTCTTCTTCCTGCCTTGTACCCTTTGAGCTGAGCCTGGTGATTGTAACATCTCACAGGGCAGGGAACAGATGCTTGAGGAAACAAGAGAGTTGAGCATTCATTGCTGCACCCGGGTCAGACTCTGCCTGTGTCTGAACCATGATTCTGTAACCACCTTGGGAAAAGCAGAGTTCACTTGATCCCTGGCCAGGCTGCAAAGCAAAGGGAGCCTTTCATTCTTAGATCTGTGGTATTGCTGTGAACCCTAGACTATAAATATCATTTGGATAATACTCTTTGTAGATAAAAATATATGCACATACAAGTCCCTCATGGATTGTGCCAATCTACTGTTTTAAAGGGTATTAGCCATCAGAATTACAGGCCAAAACATTATGTGCTGTTCATGCACTGTAGACGGACACATGTGAAATACAGGCATATCATTCCTTACCGGTTATTATTAAAGTGTACTTTTCAACACTTAAGGGTGTCATCAAAAGACTATGTTACAGAGAAACACAACTAATAACTATAGCTCAGCATGGTATTTCAGTGTATATTACATTTTGATAGTAAGCATGGAGGAGGAGAGAACAGGTCAGTTGACTAGAACTGCTGGGTTCTTTTTGAGTATTTTCCTCATTAGCATAATTTAATTCTGTGTTTCAAAACCATGGGGACTACAGTGAACAGATCCAGCTTTGCATTTAAATAGAGCTGTATGTAAATACTATCATTTGGTTAGCTGTGGTTTAGATTTTCCTGAGCTTTACAGAGATGACCTACTATTATTACTCTATCATAAAGAAGAGAGGGTTTCTATTACCCAAACTAATGGGCCAAAAGTTTAACTTACCTCATTTTGTCTCTTAGGAGCGTTATGACTCAGAGGTACATGTGTGCACATGTATACACACACACACACACACACACACACACACACACACCACTCAAATGACTCTGAGACAGTGTAGTTTCTTGTCTATCTTTAGATAATTCCTCACCTAGTTCCACTTTTATGCCACTATTCATAAGCAGAAACCTTGATAAACTCAACATACGCAGAGCTCTCAGTTTAGAAGGTAAATTTTTATTAAGAGAAGAGCTTGCTCAAACCCTTTGGTAGAGTAATGCTACATCATCACGCTGTTAAGACCCTGGTTCACTCATATCTGACTTAGTTGTGAAAAGAAAACTGAATTAAGCATGCATCAGTAGAGTGAGGTCTTGCCCCAGCTTTGTTGTCTTATGGGGACAGGGGGCAATCTCACTATCATCTCCAGTGTTAGCATCTAAGATTCCATGGTTGTCAGTCAAGTAAATATGTTCCCATTCACTTCTATCGACTTCTCCAGGTAACTTCCACCACGATGACGGCATTTGACGCTAAGGAAAAACCACCACAAAAGATAAAGCAAGCAAATGCAGCTATTTGTTTATCAGAGCATTATGATCTCTATTTAAGACTAGACACTCATTAAATGTGGGTCATTATTGACTCATGATCCCTTTGGTGTTTTTAATTATTATCTCATTCTTACAGATTAACCAAAACCAGAGTAGTCAGTGAGAAGAAAAGTCTTTGAATCCTAAGCAGAGACAGAGTGGAAGCGCTGCCTTCTCCCCCTAGATCTTCCTGTCTTTTTGTGTTGTTTAGTTGTTTAATAACTCAGTTTTCACACATCAGAAAACCATTCAGCACTACCACTTAAATGAAAACCAACTAAAGTTTGAAAGAGGAATGAAAGGATTTCGAAGCTACTGTACTATGTGTTTGGCTTTAAAGTTATTTTCAAACAATTGTGCATCATCCAAGCTTTTTTCATCTGAATGTTGAAGTCAGGAAAATGTGATGCAGGGTACCTCAGTGAATGAATGCCACATTCATTTGGCATTTGCTCCAGACTAGAACTATTAGCCAGCCCTTGGAGATACTGACAAATAATCGTCCAGAATGCCATGCCCCCACCTGCATTCCAGAAGAGTTCCAGCTCTTCAACCTGCTCACCCACACTTGATGCTGTCTTTTCATGGAAGTCATTATGATTGGCATCTGGCCAGAATATTTGTGTTTTACTTCTTGTCGTTTTCGTATAAAATAACTTCTTTATTCCCTCACAGGATCTTGATTCTCAATGAAATAAGCAATTCAAAGTTCATTTCAGATGCTAGATCGTAGAAGCATGAAGATGCTAATTATCCTATACTATAATCAGAGCGGGTTATTATGATTATTGGTAATGGTAGAAAATCCACAAGCTTTTCTCATGATGGGACTATCTTATACTGGCTTCTGAAGTTTATTCAAGGTATGCTTACTTTTGATCACATAGAGAAAGGCAAATACAGAAGGCAATAAAGGCTAATCCTTGATGCATAATCCAGAGTTATCACTGAAGTTGATGGCTCAAAAATATCCATAAGAGAGTGATTAGAGATGTGGCTCAGGTTATGGAGCACCCGCCAGTGAGGGAAACCAAGTGTCAGATGTCGCGTTCAAGTCCTAGTCTCAGACAAAACAAACAAACAAACAAAACAAAGACCCATGAGAGAAAAATGATCCAAGCCAAATACCAGGACTAGTGAGACAGCTCATTGGCAGAGCACTTCCTTAGCATACACAAGACCCTGGATTCCGTCCCCAGCACCAAATATATAAATAAATATATTTTTATTTAGAAAGAAAAAATAAAGTGAAAATTAGTTGTCCTTCCTTACTTCTAACATACTTGCCTCATTAATGGAATACAAAAGCCAAACAGCTGACTTAAAACAAAGACACTTCATCTCATTAACCATAGACGTAATCAAAGGAGATACAGGTATACCTGTGGATTGGCACATAGCTGTTTAGATTTAAATTATTCACTCACCTATTTTGCAAATGTTTATGCAGTATTTCCAGTAAGTCAGGAATTGAAATAGTTACTAGGGATACAAAAACATCAACAACTGTTCTCAAGAGGCTACAGTCGGAAGGAGGAGACCCCTGCGTGAGGAATTGTGATAGGAACTGTGTGCACGGGACAGGGTGATGATGTGGAAGACACTATGTCTCCCAGAATGGTGAGGTAGGCAGGGGAAGGTAGAATAGAGCTGCACAGACCTAGCTCCTGGTAGGGAACTTGCCAAACAGGAGCAGGGAGGAAGCCATTTCAGGGCAGAGGGAAATAGACCAGGAGGTCTAAGTTGACCTAGTTTATTTCTGGAGCTGTGGAGGTAGGATGGGGAAGGGAGAAGCAGCAGGGATTGAGAAGATTCTACCCGGGAGTTGGATTTGATTCCTCCCCTGTACACAGAGATTCTGTTCTTTAAACATCTTTGAGCCCTGTGCCAGATTTTAGGGAAACAGGATGACTCATCCACCTATTCTGCCAGCAAATGTTCCTTGAATAACTACTGCTTGCCCAAATGCTGTTTTGAAAAACAAGATAATATCCTAGGGGTGAAAGGCAGGAAAATAAATTGATTATGGACCAGCCTGATAAACATTGTAATAGAAATGCATGCTATTTTCTTCCCTGGACACTCCCTCCCCCCAAATAAGAAATCATCTGGAACTTTGCACCTTGAGATACAGTGGTCTAAGGATGATCCAGAAGGGCTGCAGGTAGATGCAGGGGTGAAGTGCTTGCATAGCTGATGTGAGACCCTGGGTTCAATCCCCAGTACTATTTTTTAATTATAATAGCTTTAGAAAAAGAGAAGTAGTTCTAATGGAGTCATTTCCACTGATCTGTAGCTAGTGTAAGTATTTTAAATATGTATTGACTCAATACATCAGTTTAAATACATGTTATGAGAATGGTTAGAGACTCGAATTGCATTGTATGTATTTTCTCTTGAGTCATGAGAGCCTCAAGTGTGCTGGACAGCTGGTGGTTTGATCTCCTGGAACTGGCCTCTCATTAACCTTGTTCTTGCTTTTCAGGTGACAAAGAATGAGCGTCAGGTTATGAAGCCACTCTACGACAGGTACCGACTGGTCAAACAGATCCTGTCCCGGGCCAACTCCATCCCCATCATTGTGAGTAGTATATTGCCTTCCTCTCATTGTTTCACTCACTTTCTGCTTGAATGAGCCTTGGCTGTATTAATAGGGCCCCAACTTGCTTTCCCATTAATGAGCAGACGTCGATAGTCCAACGAGCCGTTGGTATCCACAGTCTACAAAGCATGCGGAAGTGAAGACATTATCAAAGACTTCTGAAGCTACTTGCACCAAAAACTGAACTTGCTTTGGCCATGCATCTCCCTCTGTGTACTCCAGGCCAACTCCCCGACCCCTTTTTCAGCACAAGGGACTAAGGCACTGTACCTTCTCCAAAGTCTTCACAGAGTATCTTTTTGGTCCCAAAGTCCTTCTCTTGACAGTCTTTCCCTATCTAGGAGAGACATTGGAAGTCAGATCTAAGGAGACTCCTCTAAGGTAATCCAGTGATTACTTCCACTGTGGACAGTGGAAGGAAAGGAAGAGAGGATAACAGTTCTGAACCCTCCTCCCTGGGCACCATCCTGGGATTTACTTCATGGCCTGTCATCCCTGGATTTGATCTTGTCAAGGGTACAGAGTAGCAGTTTGCCCCCAGCTATGGGAAGCCTCTTCACTTTGGCCCATTTTTCCCCCTCCCTAAGCCAGCCTCCCAACTCCCAACACAACCTTGCTTTGATGTCCCTGCTGACATCCTTACTCATTTTAGCTGCAGCTCTTACCTAGCCCTTCCTGAAATCTCCATGTTCATTGCTTGACCTGAGGTGTACTCTAAATTTCTTTGAACAGTGTGCCTTTTTTTTTTTTTTTGTCGGTCGTGGGTCTTGAACTCTGGGCCTGGGTGCTGTCCCTCAGCTCTTCAGCTCAAGGCGAGCACTCTACCACTTGAGCTACAGCGCCACTTCCGGTTTTCTGGTGGTTTATTGGAGATAGGAGTCTCAAGGTCTCTCCTGCCCGGGCTGGCTTTGAACCGTGATCCTCAGATCTCAGCCTCCTGAGTAGCTAGGATTACAGACATGAGCCACCGGCTCCAGGCACCTTTTTTTTTTTTTTTAATCAATGAGGGAACACCCAGAGACCTCAAGCAGGCTACTCTTCTAGAAACATCCTGCAGAATAAAGTCATAAATAAAAGGATGATATCTGGGGGGAAAAAAAAAAGCGTTTTTCTCCTCTAGTTAAGAGAGCCCTTAAAGTCCCTGAAATAGGGTGAAGGTACACCAAAGCTCAGATAACCTTTGTGTTGCTTTTTGAGTTTGCCTTACTCTCCTTAGCTAATTGCCATGAGGTGTTCTGATCGTTACTAGAGTTGGGAAGGAACAGGGGGGCGGGGGAGGGGAGTGTTTAGAATTTCCCTGAATGTTTGGATATCAGTCCTGTGTCCTCGCCTAGTCCTCTCCGGTTGATGTGTGTGAACTCTGAAGGGAAGTGGCAAGCTTGGAACAGAATTTTGGTGATGGGAAGACTCGGTGGGAAGGGGCTTAAGAAATATGACTAAAAGACAGTAATAAATGCCAGTATGGTCAGAGAAGGCTGAGAGCCGGACGGGAAAGCAAAAGGTTCTTAATGTAACCTGCTTGTTAACTCCTGTCTCAGGGGTCCCCCTCCAGCAAGAGGAGAAGCCCTTTACTGCAACCCATAATCGAAGGTGAAACTGCTTCCTTCTTCAAGGAGACAAAGGTGAAGACGTCATTCCCCTGATCCCTTGGGCAAGGGGGGTGATTGTCCCTTGGGTGGTGGCTTTTGTCATGCTCCTCACCAATCAGTAACTGCACATAATCCCCCTCAAACTCTCCTTTTATGTATATCATAGCTTATCCAATTTCCTTGGCTGCTTTTCATTTTCTTTCCTTTCCCATTTGTTGCTTCATTGGTTTTGTTTTTACCTTGCTTTGGAGAATTCTTTTGTTTGTTGTTTTACTTTGTTTTCCCCATGGGAAAATGGACCTTTTTTTTGCATACCAAAATCTTAAACTAGTTTATGGTACCACCTTTTTTTTTTAACTTTTATATACTGAATGTGGAGAAAATCAAAATGAAGAAAGGCAATAGAGACCACATATAATGAAGATGATCATATTATAGGCAAGTGTTGGAGTTGATTTTAACAAGTTTGCTAGTATAATTTTGCCCATTATTCCTTTTCTTGGCCCATTTATTATAATAAAGTTGCAACATCTTTGTGATCTGATCTTCATCTGTGGCAAAGGACCAGCAGTGTTTTGGATTTTCCTATAAGAACAGTTGTGGGTTTTGTGTGGCTGGTCTTTGTCAGCCCTGGCTGTCTTCTGTAGAAGGGAAGGTATAATTTCTGCCCAGGTGTCAGTGGGTCCCCATGGGACCTTAATTGGCCTGTGTTAGGATCAGACTCTTTATGCTTTTGTTTCTAGACAACTGAATAGATTGCACTGCCTTACATAGGGCTCTAGAGATAAGAACCAAAGGCAATTTTTTGACATCATGATTTTTTTTAGTAGTTGTTTAGATCCAAAGAGAAAATTAAGCTCAAAGCAGACGTGAGTTAGAAAAGTTTCATCTGTCATATTTCTAGGATACTCCAAGTTGGAATGATCATATTTACTGTAGTTAGACATTATTATTTCAGAATAATCTTTCCTATAGAGAACACAAATCGGCAACTTCATTTTCTTGTTTGAGATAAGGTACCATAAACTACAGTCTTTAGTTTTATTTGTCATATTCTTTTTCTCACCTTGTAAAGTTCTTAAATTGTCCATATGCCTAACTTTAACTTATTACAGGTAATTACCATGTTCACTATTTATATTATCAAATCGAACTTGTGTTCAGAAAATGCTTTAAACATGGCACTGGGAACTCTGGGCCAGCCTGCTATATTATGTCTTAAAAATTAGAGCTATTTTCTTACAATAAGCCCTGATGTTGATGAAAGACCACAAATTTTGTCTAGCTGGTAGTTTTGAACAAGAATGAAACCACTGTAATTGAAAAAATTGGGCCAATTGTATATATGAAAATTAGTATGTCCTTCATAGCAGCACATAATAAAGGCTGTTACAAGATAAAAACATGTTCTTGAATACATCCAAAATATGGCATTTAATAACTGCCTCATTAGATGAATGGAAGTTACCCTAGTGTTGCTGGGACTGTTGTTTTTTTTTTTCAAGAGAGAACATTCTTCCCATTCTTATCCTTTTTAAAAAAAAATATTTTTCCACAAGAATATTTTTGCCTGTGGCGTATTGCCGACTGGCCCACATGAGGGTCAAAACTTTAGCTGGCTAGTGACTTCATTACTTGTGTAAATAGTGCTGTCTTTGGGTTCATCTTGTTTCAGTTGGCCAGGCTTATTAACATTTATTTGAACTGTGCTAATTTCTTGGCACTTGTGATACAATTGAACATTGGGCATGTGTGCACATAGGAGATTGTGCCTTAAGTGGTTTCTTGAAAAACCCATCCTGGGTTTTCATAGCTTATGGATGGAACTGGCTTGTGTGTGAAACAGAGCCAGCGCAAATTCTGAAGCTTCTGAAGATGTCCCAGTCCACCAAGACACCTGGTCAATCCTTCCATCCACAATGGGAATCCCTCCTAAAACCTCTTAGACAGCTGCTGGGCACTGGTGGCCCACGCCTGCCATCCTAACTATTCAGGAGGCTGAGATCTGAAGATAGAGGTTCAAAGCCAGCCTGGCAACCAAGTCCATAAGACTCTTATCTCCAGTTAGCCACCAAAAAGCCAGAAGTAGAGCCATGGCTCAAGTATAGAGCACCATCCTTGAGTAAAAAAAAAAGAAGATAAGGGACAGTGCGTAGTCCTTGAGTTCAAGCCCCAGTACTGGCACAAAAACAAACAAACCAGCAGACAAAAAGCTCATAGAAAGAAATGTACGCATTATCCTGCCCATGTAATTGTAACCCCTCTGTACAGTATGTTCACAAATAAAAAATAAATTAATTAATTAAAAAAAAAAAGCTCATAGATGCTCAGAGATGCTTCCCTGGAAGGAAATTTCATCGTCAGACTCCCAACTCTTAGGGCTGTGGGGAGGATACATAACAATCAATAATCTCTACAAACATGTTTTATAATTAAATTATACATTCTAAAATTATTAGTGGCAGTACTGGGTCTTGAACTCAGGCCCTCGGCACTGTCCCTTAGCTTTTACACTCAAGACTGTCATTCTGTCATTCTACCACTTGAGCCACAGCTCTACTTCTGTCTTTTTAGTGGTTAATTGGAGTAAGAGTCTCACAGACTTTCATGCCCTGCCTGGCTTCAAACCATGATTCTAAAATCTCAGCTTCATGGGTTACTGGGATTACAAGCATGAGCCACCAGTGCCCACCTGTCATTATATTTTATAAGTTTGATGAATGCTGAATGTCACAATGAAGTCATTGAAAACAATTGTATGCCTGGTTAGAATAAATTGTGATGCTCTGTCTAGTAGGCGTGGCTTTACCCTCTGGAGCAGTAGAGAATTTACACAAGAGCTTCTTCTTTAACTTTAATTTTTTATTATTATAAAGGTGATGTCTAGAGGGGTTACAAATACATAGGTCAGGTAATAAGTATGTTTCTTTTTGGATAATATCTCCCCTTCTCTCACTCTTTCCCAGTGTTTCCCTCCCGTCCTCATCTACAAGTTGTATAGTTCATTTTCCACATCGTGTCTAGTGAGTACATTTGTTCACCCTGCGTCCCTCCATTTCTGTGCCCCTGCACAAGAGCTTCTTCCCAGAGAACCTTTCTCACGTTCACCATCGCTTGCCCCCACGCACCCCAAACCCTGAGGAAATCTCTCCTCCTACCTCTTACTCCTCCTGCAATATGGATCCCAGAGGAAGCCCAGCCTCCTGGCTCTGCCTCACACACCACGCTCTCCATGGCCCTCTTAAACTGATACCCAGAACTAAACACATCCAAACTATGGTTTCACCCGGCCAGTGCACCAAGGACCTTCCCATACCTGGATGACTGTGACCTTTCGGTTCCCCAAGCCCTTGTTAGCTTGTCTGCCAACCAGGTGAGCATTCCTTTCTGTCTTTCCCAGGACATTGACATCAGGATGAGATAACTCAGCTATAAAGTGCTTAGCCAATGTCCCTGGCCCCCCACACACACTAGATATCACCCCACCCTGCCCCACACTACACGTATCTGCAGACACTGCCAGATGTCTCCCGAGGGACAAAGTCACCCTGTTGAGCCTCAGTGCTCATGGCCCGCCTTGCTGTTGACATGCATTGGACTAAGGACACACTTGTGCAATCGCAGATCCTTTGTCTGGATGGCTTAGCCACTGTGTATCCAGCTTGGCTCTTTCCTAACCTACTTAATTATAGGACCTTGAACTTGTCCAGAGTCTTTGTATACTAATATTCCAACCTTAGGAGTCAGATTAAATATAGAGTCTGTATGTCAACGTGCCAGATATCCCTGGCTCCTTGGAGTGATCAGTGCATTTGGGAAACAAGCCTTTTATGTCTTTGTCCAGGTGACGGATAAACGTTGCGGAAGGCAGCGTCAGGTTAGGAGCTCCACAGACCTTGTCCTTCCCATCCATATTGCTAGTGCATTGCCATTGCTGATATCTGGGCAACCAGCTTTCCTGTTGGAGGGTCTGCCACTTGATTCTTTTTTTTTTTTTTTTTGTCAGTCGTGGGGCTTGATCTCTGGGCCTGGGTGCTGTCCTTCAGCTCTTCAGCTCAAGGCGAGCGAGCGCTCTACCACTTGAGCCACAGCGCCACTTCCGGTTTTCTGGTGGTTTATTGGAGATAGGAGTCTCACAGTCTCTCATCCCGGGCTGGCTTTGAACCGCGATCCTCAGATATCAGCCTCCTGAGTAGCTAGGATTACAGGCGTGAGCCACCAGCGCCCGGCTGCCACTTGATTCTTTACTGGAATCCAGATATTACACCAGTCCTGTCTAAAAGGGAAAAATGTTAGGCGGCTGAGATCTGAGGTTTGAAGCCAGCCAGCCCAAGCAGGAAAGTCTCTGAGACTCTTATCTCCAATAAACGACTCAGAAACAGTTGGAAGTGGTGCTGTAGCTCAAGTAGCAGAGTGCTAGCCTTGAGCACAAAGAGACTCAGGGACAGTGCCAAGCCCTGAATGCAAGCCCCTGCACCAGCAAAAAAGAAAGAAAGAAAGAAAGAAAAATGACACATTATCACGATTTGCTCTTAAGGAGCAAGTGGCCTGAGCTGATCTTATTATGTATTCATTCCTTCCAGAACCTGGTCAATAGATTGTGAGGCTGCTGTCTCACTTCACATCTGTTTTTGCTGTGCCTTCTTTCCTATGAGTGTACAAGAACTAGGAGTAATTGTGTTAGGTTCATCTAAAAGAAAACACCAGAATTAAGCCCAGTACCAGTGGCTCACACCTGCAATTGTAGCTACTTTGAGTGGCTGAAGACAGGAGGATCATGGTTCCAGACCAAGCTGGGCATAGACATGAGATCCCTTTTCGACCAATAGCTAGGTCTGGTGGTATACCTCTATCATCCCAGAAATGGTGGAGCCTGCGATTGGGAGGGCTCCAGGCTATCAGGAATGCCACCCAGGCCCTGAGTTCAAGCCCAGAACTGGCAAAAAGAAAAAAAAAGAAAAAGAAAATGTATTTTTTGAGACATTTACTTCTGTGGACCACATGAAGAAATTGAAGGGCCAGGCCCACCCCACCCCCAAAGGTACAGCTGAGATAATCCAGAATTTTCACCTGGTTTTTGTCCTCCTCAGTTAAATCAGTAGAACTGAGCACCGGTGACCCACTTTGTAATCCTAGCTACTCGGGAGGCTCAGAGCTGAGGATCATAGCTTGAATCCAGATAGACCTGATCTCCAGTTACCCAACAACAACAACAAAAAGAAGTGAAGATGTGGCTCCATTGGTATAGCATTAGCTGTGAGCAAATGAGCCAAGGCCCTGAGTTCAAGTTATAGTATCAGGGGAGAAAGAAATCAGTAGAGAAGAAATCACATGGAATGTGGATACTTCCGTGATTTTGCATGATGTTTACAGTGATGCTTATAGTAAAAGTGCATCCCCAAACGTGACCAGATTTTTTTTTTTTATTGAGGTTGTCATGTATCTCCAGGAAGAAGATGAGGGGTCAGAAGAGGACAGCAATATGAAGCCAGACTTCACAGTCACCCTGAAGACAGAGTTCAGTGCACCTTGTTTCCTGGATCCGTTTGAAGATGATCCTGATGGCTTCATTTCCCCAATGGACGACAAAATACCATCCAGAGGCAGCCAGGACACGGGGCTCTCCAATCTCCATGCGGCTTCCATGTATGTCATTTAAAATGAGGAGCAAATAGCTCCCACAAATACTATCTCAGCCTTTGTATTTAAATCCTTTGCCTAATCAAACACAAGGAACTTAGCCAGGCTGTATCTGTGTGGAGAAAACAATGTATTTTTTTAAATTCTGGCTCAATATCTTTTTATGCTTCATCCCATATTATTTGAGATCTGGCTTAAACAATCAGAAGGTCTCAGTCAATGTCATTCTGCGGCTTTGTACAACAAGGGGCAGGCGGCAGGGCGCTGTGTGGCCGGGTTTGGGCATTTGAGAGAGAAAGCGTTCATGTCGAATGCCTCTCGGCAGCAACCATGGCTTGTGCACCGACTGCCTTTTCTCTCTCTCCACAAACTCTGTGGAGTTGCCCACTGGTTGCTATTTGCATTTCCTGTTAATGCTCTTGAAATGTTCCACTCACCCCTTAGCTCTGAGCTCCTGGAACACCTTCAGGAAATGAGAGAAGAGAAGAAAAAGATTCGAAAGAAACTTCGTGATTTTGAAGACAATTTTTTCAGACAAAACGGGAGGTATGTGTATGCCTCCCCTCCCGGCCTCCTTCCGCCCCCCCCCTTCACCCCACGCTTCCCAGCATGCTTTGTTTCTGACAGAGTGGTAGAATCCCTCCCAGGTTGCTTTTGGGGGCTGGGCCCCAGGGACTCTGAGAGATCGGCAGTGAGGAGCTGCCAAGGCTTCTGTGTACCTCCAAGGAACCCGTTCCTTGGGTATTATCCAACACGGGTATAGAGCCATATACCATGCCTGAAACTAGCCTGTCATTCCCAACAGCATTGGGAATGGAGTTGGGAACGGAATTTCAAGATGATAACACTAGGATTTTTTTTTCCCCTTAAGAAACTAGAGGGAGAAGAAAGGGTCAGGGGGCTCCAAATATAATCTGATTTTTTTATGTTCATTTTCAAAGCAAATACTGGGCTGGGGAACACTTGCCTAGCATGTGTTCCCTCTAGCATAGGGTTGAGTGCTTAGCATTACTAACAAAATAAACGAAACAAAGCCCCCAAAGATGATAGTTTCTGAGTTGAAATAAAAAAGCTGAGCCAGGCACCACGGCTCGCACCTGCAATCCTGCCCAGGCAGGAAAGTTTGTGAGACTCCAATAAACTTCCAAAAGTTTATCTCCAATAAACTTCCAAAGCCACTGGTGGAGCAGTGGCTCAAGTGGTAGAGTGCTAGCCTTGAGGAAAAAAATGCTCAGGACTTGAGTTCAAGCCCCAGGACTGGCACAAAAAAAAAAAGAAAAGAAAAAAAGTTGCTGGGCACCAGCGGCTCACACCTATAATCCTAGCTACTCAGGAGGCTGAGATCTGAGGATCTCGGTTCAAAGCCAGCCTGGGCAGGAAAGTCCAAGAGATTCTTATCTCCAATAAACCACTAGAAAACCAGAAGTGGTGCTGTGGCTCAAGCGATAGAGGGCTCGCCTTGAGCTGAAGAGCACAGGGACAGCGCCCAAACCCAGAGTTCAAGCCCCATGACCAACAACAACAACAAAAAAAAGCTTACATCTGAAGATTGCAGTTCAAAGCCAGTCCAGGCAGAAAAGTCTGTGAGGCTTAATTAAGTAGCAAGAAAGCTAAAATGAATACTTACTAGTATGTAAGGTTCAACTGTTGAATTCCAAAGCGATTTTCTAAGTGGAAGTATTAACTATCTAGTGTGGGGAAAAGCTATAAATGGCAGGTGTATCCATTGTTGAGTAGAAATTTGATAGATCACTAGATGAAAGAAATGTGTTCATTACGAATGGAGGATTTCCGCTTATGGAAACTTCTACTTAGCATCCAGGAGAGAGAATTTGAGCATCGCTTAGTCCTTCCCAGCATAATCCAAGATGGCAGATTAACCAGAGACAGCAGAGGCCTGGTGCCTTGGGGGAACCTGCCTTTCCCAGCTTGTCTAAACCCACTGGCCGCCCCTCTGCGTGGATTCACACTGCAGGGGCCGTATGGCAGTTTGCCTGGTGAGCGAATGGGAAACGAAACCTCAGCCTCCTTCTCCCTTGCTTCCTTTAGAAACGTCCAGAAGGAAGACCGCACTCCAATGGCCGAAGACTATACTGAATACAAGCATATCAAGGCGAAGCTCAGGCTGTTGGAGGTGCTCATCAGCAAGAGAGACACAGACTCCAAGGCCATGTAAGCGCCAGCCCAGGCCGGCCCGCGGGGCCCGTGAAGAGCAGCTGTGGACGACAGCGCTAGAGCAGGACCTGCATGCGGCCCCTTCTGCCTCCAGGTCACCGGCGTCCGCTCCATTTCCATCGCCTGCCTTAGAAAACCCACGTGGATGGAAGAAGACCGTGTGGCCGACTGCAGACGTTCTGTAAGGAACAAGGCAAGATGCCTCCACATAAGCATGCCCGTCGCAACGCGTGCTTGCACACGTTGTCACCGGACCCTCACACCACACACACCCACGGACGGAGAGCAGACGCTGTTCTTTCCTGGCTGACTGAGAAACGCGGGGCTGTGCGCTATCTTAACTGTGATCCAAACAAGCTCAGGACTCGACTCTCTAGAGCGAACTCACTGCGGAGGCCATGTTCTCCCAGGACCCAGTTCCATGACCGTATATTGGAGCCCTATTTGCTGCCTTGGCCATTCTAGTGACGTCTCCCCAGAGCTGCCCCGTCCCACTCATGTGAACCGACTTCCGCCAGGGCTCTCAGGTAGCTGCAGGCCGCATCTGCCCACAGCTGGCTGTGCACTCATCTCTTTTGAGGGTTTCTCCAGGCTTCCCTCGGCCAACAAAGCATTTCAACCCCTCACTAGATCGTAATGACTGTAGACAAGTGAGGGCTTGTAGTCCCTGATGGATGCTGTTTTTAAAACCAGGGGACAGGCCAAGATCCTGAGACTGTTTCCTGCTCTTCCTTGCTCCTATGCTAACCTCACACCCTGAGTGAGCAAGGCCAGCATGCCACCAAACCTAACGGATCTTGCTCAATTCTTAGCCGCAATGTAGAGGATTATGAGAGAGAAGGAGACTCTGTTCTCAGCTTCTTAGCAGAGTTGAATTTTTCTAAAAAGAATAAAAAGTAAATCTGCACTAAAGTCCCCAACCAGACGGGTAAATGTAGCCCTTAGAGCTCAGCTCCAGGCAGAAGCTAAATGACCCTATTTTCAAGTTCCTGTATAGCAAGAATGGAAAAAAAAAACAAAACAAACACTTCTCTGTGTGGCTAATTTTGATTGTATTTTTTTAAAGACTGTGTCACAAAGCTGTCTATATTAGACATTCGGAGGGACTTTTAAGACATCAGATCATTTCATCTCTTCCATGTGTTTGAAGTCACCTTGTGATTTGCCCCTGGGGGTTCAGGGTCCACCTTTAGGTGTCCTGTCCCAGAGCACAGATGTCTGTCCACCTGGCCTGCACCAGCCGTGTGTCAGCAAGCTCTGTCTCTAGAAGACGGAAGACAGTATATCAGGCAGGCCAGATAGTTGCCTTCCAAAAGAGGACAGTTTTGTTTTAATACAAAAAGAAAAAGAGGACGTGGAGGCATGGTTCAAGTGGTAGAGTGCCAGACCTGAGGGGAGAAAGTCAAGAGCCCAAGGCCCTGAGTTAAACCCCAATGCTGACACCAAGAGAAAAAAAGTAAGTTCTTAGCCAGGCACCAGTGACTCCTTTCTGTAACCCGAGCTACTCAGGAAGTTAAGATCTGATGATCTTCGTTCAAAGCCAGCCAAGGCTGTGAGACTCTTACTTCCAATTAGCCAGCAAAAAGCCTGAGGTAGGGGCATGGTTCAAGTAACAAAATGCCAGCCTTGAGCAGAAAAAGCCAAGGAATAGTGCCTAGACCCTGAGTTCAAGCCCCAATACTCAGACAAAAAGAAAAAAGGAAAAGAAAGATAGGAGGAAGGGAAAAAAAGCGTAAGAAAGCAGGAGAAATTAAAGAAAAAGGAAGAGAAAGAAAGAAAAGAAAAAGAAAGAAAGAAAGAAGGGAAGGAAGGAAGGGAAGAAGGAAAGAAAGAAAGGCAGGCAGGCTGTACTGACTGAGCAGTTGTAGTGTTAAAAATGGGTCTGAGGTGTCTCTCCTGTGTCAGCTGAAAACTCAGCCAGGGTTGCAGGCAAGAGCACCTTTCCAGTTCGCTGTCTGAATTACTTGTATATGAGCCTGAGCTACATGTTGGAAGTACTCTGGTTTTAATCCACACACTTCAAGACGGTACCTAATCCTATAAATTTAAAATGTATGTGAAGGTATAGTTTTGCTCTACTGTTTACATTGCAGATCGCTATAATTTCATGGAGTTATATTGTAAATAAAACGATGCACTTTAGGACATTTTCTATTTTTGAAATCGGAACATGAATCATTCACATGACCAAAAATTGTATTTTTAAAAGAAACACATGTCTGTCCTTTTACAGTAATTGTTCTCTTAAATAAGCTACGCTATAAATGGAATCATTGCCAGTTAACTTTGAAAGCACATCTGTTTTAAGAGTATTGTTTTGAAGAACATATGCTATAGAGCTGGGTGTTTTAAGCTACATATAAGCTACTAGCTGTTTTGAAAAATCTGTTGTTTCTGCCAAAGGTGAATTAGCTAAAAGATTTCTTGAGGAATCCTTATTCAAATTTGTATGATTCAATAAAAGAAAACACCAAGTAATAGTAAAATAAATCATGTATGAACTGTCGCATTTTCCTTTGCAATTTCTATTCTATATTCCTCATCGTTTGGACCCCAGTGAAGCAGGGGAGCGATGTTTACACCAGATCCTTGCAGAAGGCCTGTTAGTCAGTGGTTTCTGGCTCTGCCCAGAAATGCCCAGGCAAATTGGTTTCCATGGCAACCGTTGCTGCAGCCTGGCATCTCCAGGCACTAGAGACAGTGCCTTAATTGGCTTCCCACAGCCAGAATGCTCTGGGCTGGTGTTTTTCCTTTGCAGTCTTGGGAATGTGTGTGTTTATTAGCATCTGCCAAGAAAATAAATGTCAAGGACTATTTAATAACATTGATAAGTAAAAAATAAACTTGATTATATGCTCATAAGAATTAGTGATGGCAAAGGCCTATAATTTTCACAAGCACTTTCTTTGATTGTATTGGGTCTGTTGAACGAGATGTTTCTGTTAAGGATGACATCCTACTGCATTTCTTTGGTTTGGAGTTTCACATCCTACGTCGTGGAGGTAAAATATTTAGGATAATGGACTGATTCAGAGCTATTTTAAAGACAGTAGTGTATTCTTTGCTGCTAGAAAAACTAACATCACCAGTGATCTCCCAAACCAGGGAGAATGTCCACTGAAAGACCAAAGCAGATTTCAAGCTGGAGGATTCGTTCCTTTCCTAAATTGCTAGCTGGCTGCATTCTAAGTTGTTAGATTTCTTCCCCTTGGTTTGAAGTCCAAAGATGATTATTTATTGCCCACCCAGGGATCAGCGATGTGTCTGTCTATGAAGCAGCTATGTAGTTTTTGCCTTGTCTCATTCTGATGCAACGCTTGCGTGGCGGGGAAGGAACTCTCGCAGGATGTGTCTGTGCCCAGGTGTGACACCACTCAATAGCCAGACTGTGCGTCTGTCATAAATGCCGCCCAAAGCTGTCCTGAGGCCTGCAGTCTGGGATCCTCAGAGCTGGCTGAGTGGTGACAAATGGGCCGAGCTTGATGATCAAAATAAAGGAATAACCATGACACCAATGAGTTTGGCTCCATACAGGGGGGGAAAGGGGTGCAGCCTACTGTTGAAGACAGAATTGGGCCTAGCAAGCCAGAATTGGTCACAGATTTTTCAAAGACAAAGCACTTGCTTAAGTTTCTTCATTTTCAAGACATTTGAAATCAGAGATGAAGATGCCCTCTGTGTTCCGTTGATGGCGTAGTTAGAGTTGACCACCATAAACTGCTAACTGCTCCGTGGAAAGCTGCTTGTAGTCTAAATTGTTTTGCTTTCAAGATGATTCTTCCTGACCCTTCCTGGGCTCTTTTTCTCAAATGGAGGCAAATGGAGGCAGTCAACACCCTGGTGACGTCGTTTTCCAGGACACACCTGCTCAGAGCAGCTGGGAGGGACAAAACTGCATCCTAAAATTTGAACAGGTCTCTTCTGAGGTGTGTGTGTGTGTGTGTGCGCGCGCGCGTGCGTGAGAGAGAGAGACAGACAGACAGAGAGACAGAGAGAAGCAGAATGGTCTTTCCTTCATTCTCTTTTCAATTTCCCCCCACCTGAGCCTCAAAATATACTAAAGAGAACATTCTGTCAAAACAAAACTGGTCAACCTATTTTCCGGTTGCTATGTATTTACTTTGTGCACATAGAGCCGGTATAAATGGAAACCAGCCTGGCATAATCCAGCCAGGAGTTGTAAATTCACATTGGGCATTGCCTGTGTCATTGCCACTTCCTGGCTAGAGATTGTGCCCTCTTGGGCATCTGCACACCTCCGCCATGATCCTCCTCGGCAGCTGTAGGAATTCACTGAGCTCAAAACCACAGGTGTGCACAGAGGTGTATGCAGTATGAAAGTATGTCATTTACAACTTCATCTTATTAGGGAGTAGCAGTTGTGTCTTCAGAGAATCGTATTTTGCACTGTCATGGCTACAGCTCAAGAAATCATTTTGGGCTAACGCTGGTGGTTCATGCCTATAATGCGAGCTGAAATCTGAGGATCATGGTTGGAAGCCAATGCAGGCAGACAGATTTACGAGACTCACCTGTTCAGTTAACCAGCAGAAAGCTGGAAGTGGGGGTGTGGTTCGAGTGGTAGAGTTCCAGCCATGAGTGAAGAGAAATCCCATCGAAGAGAGGTGCAGAGTTCTTTTTGGTTCTGACAGAAAACAATTCAGTTTGGTGACAGCGCGCCTTCTCTATCAGAAAGTACGTCCACAGAAAGTCACGAAAATGGATGAGAATGGATAAAATGCCCCCGAGTAATGTAGAACCCAGAACAATGTTTACATGACATGAAAGCAGAAAGCATGTGAAATTACCCATGTCCTTTTTTTAAAAAAACGTAATTAGGATGAAGTGTTTTATCCACATTTTTTGTACATGACAGTATTTTGTATAAATAAAATATTTGTAATGAAGTTGTACGAACTGTGTCACTATGGAATAAACTGCCTGCGGGTCTCGCCTCGCTCTTCTTTAAGGAATCCATGCTAGCTTCTGGCAGCAGCTCGAAGGCAGCATGAGGATCAAGTTTCTTCAGTTTCCAGTTTGGGAAGTTGAAGCAAACAGGACCATGTTGTAGCAAAACAGGTCAGGTTTAGCTGCTTTTAATTCACAAAAGGGCTAGACGGGGTCCAGAGACAAAGACATTGACGCTTTGAAAAAAAATTAAGTACTCATCACATCTGTGAGAGCTGGGCTCCATGACTCACACCTGTAATCCTAGCTACTCAGGAGGCTGAGATCTGAGGATTGAGGTTCAAAGCCAACCCTGGGGAGGACAAATCCTCAACTCTTCACTAGCAAAATGCCAATGGTAGAGGTGTGGCTCAGGTGGAAGAGTGCCAGCCTTGAGTGATCATGCCTAGCAAGAGCTCAAGTCCCAGTACCCGCACCAAAAAAAAAAAAAATATGTAAATGAAAAAATAAAAGTGCTCTAGATAAATACACGAGGCATTTGCAGTTCTGAAACTAGTGAAGCCACCAGAAAACAGGCTGGAGGAGGCGTATGTCGGTTGTTGACGTGAGCCCCTGGCCCTGGGTGTTTGCCCATCACAGACCAGGTGCAGAGCTAAGGACCTGCAGGTGCCCAGGCTTCCTGGAAAGGCCTCAGCAGCTCAGAGCCCGCTGACTGGGGGGCACAGTGCACAATGATGAGGCAAAAATCAGAGTCCTTCAACCTGCTTGTTCTACGCACACGCCAAGTGACTGGGAAAAACGTAAAGGCTCAGAGTAATGACTTTGCTGTAGTGGTAAAACCAGGATTCACACCAAAGCCAGTGTGACTTCACACT